ATGCAGACACCATCATATTATGTGTGTAACGTAAGCAGTTTATTGATAAGCAAGTTTATTCCTTCAGAACAGTCTCAGTGACCTATGTAGTATCTGAATCGTGCAACTGGCTTCATATAACTATCAATAATATTAAAATGTGAGATTTGGAACAAAATCATTTCAAGCAACAGATGTGCCAAGTTCGATAAAAGCAAACTCAGTACTGAAAATAAAAAGGGCCGGATTTAGCCAGAGCTGAAGTGCTGCTAAAACAATCTCCCAAAAAACGTAAGCTTCAACTATGCAGTCGTGATTTCATGAAATATTCGAGAAAATCAAGAAATAGCGAGTCATCCAGATAAAACTTTGTCGACGCTTATGACAGTCTAAGCTGTGCTGGGAGTAAACTCCCGACGTTCTTCAAAGTCTTCAACAGTAGCTCAACATTTAAGCCCAGCACATCAATTGAAGATCAGAAGCAAGGAACACTAAACATGATTCCACATGAAATGAAATGAAACGCCATTTCAAAAAATGGAGTGAAGCAAAAAAACCGCGAAGAAAAAAAGCAAAGGTAGGTTTCAGAAAATGAAACCTTTCAGCTCTTTTTAAGTTGGATTAAAAAATTATCATCCTTTGCTTTTCATATCACTGCCTTTCCAAGTTCTTATCCATTTCTAGAAAGCGAAAAATTAAGAAATTAAGGGAGCGAATTCATTTAAATTAATTTTGATCCCAAGAAATTTAAAGATGTAATAAAGAAATTGTGAAAAATTAGTCACAAATTATGAAAAGCAGATAAATTTCCCAGTTTATTAAGAATGTGGAGACTAATGTCTCGAAGGAACCAATGGGGATGGATCCAAGGAAAGAAGTGAAAAACTTTTGGTGAGTTTCCCTGCCCTAACTTTGGTTTCTCGAATTGGAGTACTTGCAGCAAAGAAGGATGCAGATAAACAGGTCAGCTCGAAAAGGATGGAAAAACGACATAAAGGCTGAGAAGACGTAAGACATTAACGGAGCGTCTCATCATCTATGTCAAATTGGCTAACAGAAGGAACTGGGATACCTCCGAAATGTTGAATTTCTCCTAAAATTATCCCGTCTTCACGTCCAATGATCCTCCCGCTCATTCACGATATCTCAACTGGTACAAAAACTCCGATGCGTTGAATAAAGCACTCCAGCAACAAAATTTGATAGGCCAGAGAGCAGTACGAAGGCCTCAATAGGGAGACAGGTTTTATATTTATTAAATCCAAAAATCGGCGATGCTAAATAATGGAAATTGTATGAGGGAATTTCCAAGTACTCCATTTAAAATTTCACGACGAACTTCCAAATGCAGTGAGACTGTCACATGAATTGATTGATGATGACAGGACGGTAAGAAATATGGCATAGCAATAAAAAAATCAAACTGACAAGTTTGTGTGCCTAAATTTGCCCCAAAACTCATTCCATCAAAAAGAAAACTCACTGCCTGCTTTTAATTCCAGCAAATTTTAGCGCCAATAATGATGCATGACCTCAAAAAAAGTGATCACAAAAATGAAACTATCCAAGAAATACAGAAGTGGACAAAGCAGATTTCTTTCAAGTTTATTCATTTTTCTTAGCAAGTTCATTATGACACTGTTTAATAAAGAATGGAAGAGTGAGGGAACTGGCGAAAAAATATGAGACAGTTGTCGTCCGCGGAGTTCGGCTAATACTCATTAATGGGAAATTTGCTGGCTTTCATTCTACATGCCATCAGATGACGGTAACAAATTGATGAAAGCATTATCATGCAAATGAAAGAAGTGCAAACTGAAAATGCTACAATTCTGATTGCATTCTTTTCACTTCAGCAATGTAGAGAGCAATGACAAACAGCAACGGAGAGCAATAAAAACGACAAAATCAGTGACACAACCAATCAATCAATCGATCACAAAAGACTCAGTGATTTTTGATTTATTACAGTATTTTTCCGTGTTCGGAGAAATGAAAGCATTGCACTAACTTCAACTCTACACTTGAGAATAATGATGACCACAAACAACATGGAGGATGAAACAGTAATGGTAATTTGCAGAAAACAAAATACTTTACTGGATGCCCTCCAAATGCTGAGCTGTTCAGATAAAGGAAAGGCTATATTTTATCTACCATTATTCCGTCTCAAGTGACAATAAATTATTTAGAATTGATAAACATTCATCCGGAAGAAGCAATATCTACAAGAAATTAATTAAACAGATGTAGCTTCTTAAGATCTCAACTGAAAACAGCTGACATCATAAGCTTAAATTAACAAAAAATAACGACATTTTATTCCCAATTCCCGAGATAATGAGCAACAAGGAAACAAATCTCATGGAAAAGAAAATAATGAATCAGGAATTGCATATGAACAAAGTGGGAATGGGAGGGAATCAAGCAGCACCACTAGTATTTAATGTTAAATGCGCTTTCAGATTTCCAAAATTTGGATTCATACATCGCTAAATAGACTGGATGGCTTATAAAGATCCAATGAATTTAAAATAAATAAAGCAAAAAAAAAATCGTTTAGGGCTTATGTTTTTAATTGTGATGCGAATATTCATTTAGAAACCATAAAATCACAAGTGAACGAATAGTGGATTCTTTCAGTGATAACACAAAATCATTTACAGTATTAATTCAAGGAAATAAGCAAAGCTTTGATTAAACAGCATATTGCATGAATTATATTGTGCAAACAGAATGTTCCAGCGACATTTTTGGGGCTTAGAATTTAACGACTTTAAATGATGAAAAACAATCCCATCAACCCGTTGAAGCAATAGCTGCTGATTTAAATCTAATTCAAAGCAAGGGAATGTTAATTTAGACTAGGACCTGAGAAAGGACGACCCAACATACAAATAATAATTTGTCATAATGAAATTTACAATTTTTTCTTTTAGCAATTCATAAATCACTTCGATTCCAAATCATGATAAATTACTGAACTTGTATTACAGTTGGTTTCATGTGCTTTTCTGATCATTTCACCCATATTTTTAAATTGCACATATGGCAAAACCAAAAAATTTTGGTTTTGTCTTGCAGCATGTCAATATTTCTAAATGTAAAAACTATTCCAAATTTATGCCAAACAGCACCTACCTCTAACCCAAATCCGATCAAACGATCAATGCGAAAAACATCGTTCCTTGATAAAATATATGAAAATATTCATAAAAATATTAGAAATAATCCTAGGAGTTATAACTTCAACACACAATGAACTTATTGCAGCACAAGACCGATCTTTTCCGGTGCAATATCGGGACATTTCCAATTGTACAGATAATACTGCAAATTTCCATCACCAATACCAAACTTGAGATCTTCCAATATTTCTTTGTTGTCCATGAGATCAAGTGCGTTGAATACATCAAATCCACACTACAAAATATAGAAAATGACTTCCCAAATTCAATTTATAATTATAGATCCAACAGCAACATCAAAAGTCTCGGCACTTCAGTGCAGCAAGTGTTTTGCTGCTTGCAAAATGACCGTCCTTTAAACAGGTTTATTGTGATTTTTTCTAACAAATATAGAAATTGGTTTTTTTTGTGACAAAAGCAAGAAACTGAATAAAAAAGTGAGCAATCAAATCTTCTCAAAACTGTGCCTAGCATTTCAGATCTAATAATCAAAATCAACCAATAATTCAATGATAACTGTACGTTTCGTGCAAGAATAAGAGCATCGTTGATGAGTTGTTTAAGAGTTACTGATGTGGCAACATTATAGAACGAATATGCTGCACGAATTGATTTATACTGTGGATGATGCATGACTGATGAAGGCAGTGAATAAAAGCTGATTAAGTCGGTTACTTTCTTATCGTCTTCATTCTGAAAACGTTTAATACATGAAGTAAGTATTAAACAACTTATTATTCTCTGCCAATTTATATAGATCTATGCAAGCTACATAAATCCGGATTTAATTTAAATTTTTGATCATAAATATAAATTTTTTTATTCAGTAAATCGAAAAGCTCGTGCAGTAAAACAAAAAAGTTTAGTATAACTTAAATAATTCCTTAAAAAAGCAGCAAAATTTATACTAAAAATTAGACGAACCAAAGCAACGTAACTGTAGATGACATCCTCACGTGGCATAAAGAAATGCTCGAAATCAGCTAGAGTAAATTCAGGAGATAAATCAAATTTCTTTAGATAACATTGTAGTAAACTATACGCACTACCAACATGACATTTCTTCATTGGCGTCAGATTTGCTGTTTTGGGCTGCTAAAACACAATACCTAATAGCATAACAGCTTAAGTTAATATATTTGGAATGTTAACGTTACCTTAGTTAACACTAACTTTTACCATTGAAGTTAAGTGCTCCACGACTGATCAGAAATTTCTCTTCCTTTCCACTTTTAATTTTTATTGTTCTTTCAATATAACTGGAAGCAGGAATTAATTTGCTAACAACGATTAATTTTAATTGTACATGAGAAAGTTTGTAACTAAATCCAGATAAAAGATACCTCCGGAAGTTTATATAACTTCAGCGTTCTCTGCATCGTCATTTTTCGTGAGAGATGAGAAAATTTTACTTCAATAAGCTTCTTTGGATTCAGCGATCGATGCCAGTATCTCAAAAGCATAAGCCTGTCAAATCTGGTTCGGCTTTTTGCGTTTAAATTAACGTATGTTTTTTAACTTTATTCGCATAAACCTAAAGAGAAAATCAAAACATAATCAAAAAGTGCAATATTGAAAGTATAGCACCTGCACGTCGCAATAGGCTTGGGTAAGACGACACCAGCTGTAAATGCCGCTTGAAAAATGCCTTCTCGGTTCACACGACGGGTGATCTCACGAATCAAAACTGGTGCTACCCTTTTCGAGCGAAGTTTTTTATGCACACAAAGAAAATTAATTTCTACCATTTTAATTTTCTAAAATGAAGTGCTTTTTGAACAAATCCTTAATAAAGCACAGAAAAAAGATGAGAGCATAACGTTAATGACTGAAAAATACGATTTTACAAATACGGGAATTATAAAGATAAATTATTTTATAGTGTATTATGTATTATGTGAGTATGCACAGTCATCCTGTAGGGATGCCCTGTGAACAACAGCCCAGATATCGTCCACGGTTTCTTAAGTTTTCTAATTCTTACCACATAAACACACATAAAATCTCCTCCCATCATTTTTTTTAAATCGAAAAACGTAACACCGCAGAATTTTATATATACATTCATATATATATATATTGAAATAATAACCTAAAAATATCAAATCAGCTGATAACGCTACTGCTTGCTGGCATTAATATTAAAACCGAAAAGTACCTACTTTATTATAAACCCGTATAACTGAAGGAATAGCAGAAATAAAAGCAATTAATTTTCCACTTGCTTTCGCCCGAACACCGCAATGCCATTTCTTCATCCACCCCGGAGCTTTCAAAGCCCTGGAATTTGCTTACGATATTGAGTTTGATTTACTTTTATAAGCATTGATTGATTTATGCAATAGGATATTCCTTATGGTCAGGAAAATGATTATCCTTGTTGCTTGTCATATATACACAATAAAATTCTTCAAAAAACAAGTTTAAACCTCTCAGAAATTTTTATCACCTCATAATGGGCCATGATGTTAGAGATTCAAGTATAAATATTGAACATAACCATTCTTTCTAATTAGATCTCTAGCTCTTCACGTTATTTTCATTGATGAATGTCCACTGATTTATTATCGGAATATCACACGAAAAAAATTAGCGAACCAAAGCAAAAATTGTGGACTGTAATCAAATCGAAACATGTTATCATCATCTTCCACGTAATTTTCTGTCAGTAATGTGTACAGTTCAGTAAGCTCCTTGACACTATTGATTTCAACATCGCACCAACAAAAAGGATCGGGTAATGAAAACGGCTCTTCACGTACTTCTGAGATATCTAATGGAGGTTCGATGGCTCTATTTTCCGTTACCATTTCATCTGTAAATTACCGTAAAAATTTAGCCAAAAATTTGAAATCAACCCAGATTTTCACAAAATTCTTAATGAGCTTACTGATTTTTGGAACCGGTTGTGTATCCCAAAAAAGATATTTGTGTCGCTGTGCTTCGGTAATGTGCTTAGCAGCCGATGTTCCACCAACCGTTAACATCTGCAAGTAATCATAAAATAGTAAATAGTTTTGAAACAACTGAAAGTGAAATCATGTGTTCCGAACTCATCTTTGTTCAACTTACTACTTTTGGCTTCCGTTTCTTTAATTTCAAATCATTCTAATCAAATGAAAATTATCACCTCAAATTTCTTCATCAGAGCGGATTCAGTGAGTTCTTTGAGATCGATCACAGCTGTCGGACTATTTTGGCCTGCTATATTTTGAGCACTAGTATCACCATTCTCCTCACCATTATGTTGCATTATCTTCGAATCACCAGCAGACATCACTTTCTCGTTTTCATCATCCAATTTCTCGCTCCCTGCCAGCGGTTCCTCCATTATCCAGAAATAAAAGACTAACGTTTCCAGAAAAATTTACTGAACGATGTCCGTACTTTCCTAAACATAGATAATCGACCGACTTCATATCTAAATTGCAGTGATAACGCACGGTACGTGAGGACGTGTAAGCAAATACTGTAGTGATGACGCTGACCAGTAGGCGTTGAGAAGTGAAGAATGAGTATCAGTTGAAGAGCAGTTTAACACATAAATATTATGATATTCATAGGCAGTGTTCTGCTTCATAGTCACTCATCCAAAATGACCGCACTTTAGTGGTTTCTCACTCTCATTCTGAATTCATCAGACACTTTGACATGAGAAAGCCAATATTCCCAAGGATACCAGTTTTTTATTGTACACAATACTCACAAAATACAACGTTAAAGATGAGAGGTTACAACGGAAAATGTGGAGACAGAGGGTAAGAGTAACGAAAACCCAAAATGGAAGCAGAACTCGTACACCGCTCTCAAACTACCTTTTCGGAATTCTAATCATACTTTCCAACAGATGATCCATTCCTTGTCTCATGCAACGAATTGTGGAATCCCACGTAGGGCCGTTACAACTTGTCTCAGAATTAAGTTTCGTGTGGAGGTATGGTAGGATAAGGAGAAAACAGATAGGTGTGAAGGAGGAACTAACAATTCCCAGAAAAAAATGACGTCCGGAGCTAGAAACTATCCTTCGATTGCAAAATGAATCCCTATCACAAATAAAATTCAAACTTGGAAAACCACCCATCCGGATATCCATGCTTTGTTGACAATGCTTTCCACATTGAGATCTACTAGAGTCTTCAAATATTCTAGATATCACATCTCTAAAATCTTGCCAAGTTTCCATCTATAGCTTCTAGTTTGTTAACATTTCCCACAATGAAATTGTCGTTTTCAATGCCATTCGTGTGGCTCCTGATGATTTCCGAAGACAGCATTAAATATTTTGATGAAGCTGAGATTAGTTATCTCAACTACAAGATTATTTCGTTATCATAGACGAACAGTAAAAAGTTCATATATAATAACGACAGAAAATATGGGGTTCAAGAAAGCTTAGTTCACCTTACTTTTAAGCAAATCGCGATTACACATAGCAACTCAACTTACAGGGTTACACCAATATTATTAAATATTAAAAAATGACAAAGTAAAAATTCAAAATCATTTTTGATAAATTCCCCTGAGAATGATGGAAGTATTACCACAAACTCCAAATTCGTAAATAGTTTCACATGCTTACCAGTCTGACGACGACCACAGCAATATTCATTGGTCTAAATAAGCCTAACGAATAAAAATAGGAACAGTTAGCACTTAAAAAATGAAAATACGTCGTTTTAAAAATGAATTCGTGAAGAATAAGAAATACAGAAAGACCAAAAATTCCACTAAAATTTTTCAAATGAAAATTCCAGTAGACGAAAAAAGGATTTGAAAAATTGGAAAAAAAAAACAAAATGAAAATGTCACAAATAGAGAAATTAAAGAAGCATGTTCTCTTTCTCAGCTCATTAGCATGTGACGATATCCAATGTAGATTTCGAGAAAAACAAACCCGATCAACTGCTGAGTTTTGTATTCTATTTATTGCTCTAATTACTAGTAGACGAATTAAATGGAATACTGTGACGCCTGCTAACGGAAATCTCTATCACGATGTTTATGTGGAATTTAATGATAACTTAATATCAAAAGACGTGCAAAAGTGAAAGGAAACAATGCCTACGATACCTTCAGGATATGAAGAAAAGACTATAAGATATAGGGCAATTAAAAAGCAGTACATATCAGAACAAAAACAAGAAAAAGTGGAATATAAGAGATGGAAGCATTCAAGTCCAGCCACAACATTTATTCATCTTTCTTGCCTGGGTATAAAATAATTTACTCTGATTGGAGAGGCCTTCACTAGCAGCGATTAAATCATCGAGCTTCTCACCACGTTCCAGTACTGACTGTATCGTATTATGCAGTACTACTTTTGTCTCCTCTACTTCTTCCTGAAGATTTAAATCTGGATGACACTCCAAAGCAGAAAAAGATCTATTTCTGTTTATGTGCAATTTAATGATAACTTAATATCAAGAGAAGTGCAAAAGTGAAAGGAAACAATACCTGCCACCCTTCAGGGTATTGCAGGAGCAGGATAAAAAAATTAAGCAACAAGAAAATTCCACTGGTAATTTCAAAGATTTTGTTTAAACCTTTTCATTACAAATACAAGGTAAAAGAAATTCACTGATGACCTGAACTCGTGTCATCGCATCTGCTTCACGAGGGTTTTGCCATTTCACCAGTAGCTCCGGCAAACCTGTGTAGGTGCAGTCTTTCTCAGTTTTTATTTGTGCCTGAAAATTAACCACCAGTCTTTCATCAACTGAAGCATATGTAATAAGCAAGTAGCATGACTGTCCGAGCATAATAGACATCATTTAACAATATTTTAATAGGGAGATAACCAAATCATTACTCGCATTTTTATTTTCCATAAGTTGAAATCTCTGCTTTTTATGTTCAGACCAGAAAGTATCACGTCCACACATAATTCATCTTAGCGCGGTTTTCGATATTTCTTTTCATCACAGTAGTAAATACTATATTAAAAACAACTGTAATTCATGGCTTTCCGTAGCACAAAAACTAGGGAAGTTTTTTAAGCAATCCAATCTCTGTCAAAAGCATAAACTTCGTATTAAAAAATTCCACAAAGTAATTTATAGTCAAAAATTTACTTTTTTCAAACAATAAGAAGCAATTAACAAAGTAAAGTTTTTTGATCACACTATTAACTATCTTCAATTTTTATTTATTATTCTCCTCAGCTGCAATTCGACAACAATGCAGCAGTACTTTTATATTTTTCACACGGCATCCAAAGCTAATTGATGAAGAATCATACAGAAATTATTATCCAATCGAAGCCGATATGTATCAGGTTCTCTAATAAGCTATTAAATTCCTTCCAATCAATAGACAAAATTTGCTAGCAAAGCAACGCTTTCTGTTTCCTTCTTCCAAAGCGTTATTAAAACATTCCGATCAAAATGGCTAAAAAACACTGCCAATTTTATTCTCTGTCTTCTGCTGATATAACTTAGTGTATGGAAATAAACTGCTTCTGTTGAATCGTTCATGCACAAATTATGCTCATAAGGCCTCAACTGAATGAATAACCGTATTTGAAACTGTATCTGCCGGTTGTCACTAATCGAAAATTCTTTTAGGAGCTGTCAATGAGCTTTAAGTTAATTGTTATTCTGTGTTTCTTCATAACCATTTCCACATTTATATGATTCCAAGTTAGACATCACAAATTACGCATTTTCATCGATTATCCAACATTTTTCTGCCTTTCCCGATTTTGACCCAAAGAATTTAAAGTTCATAAATATTTGTTATACTAATTCTGATTTCATGAGAAAGAAATGGAAAAGAGAAAACAATGAAACTAAAAAAAATTAAACAAACCCATTGGAATGATGGCACTTTAGCTGCAAAATCATCCAAGATCCGGCGTAACATAGTGAATGCGACACGCTGTTGATATTCTGCATCCGTTATACAAATGCCCGATAATCCGTCTTGTCGTATGAATCTAAAGACCAAAGAGCAATAAATTTTTTTTATTTGTTGTGATGGGAAGAGCTAAGTGTAGCGCGCAAATTCTTTAGAATAAAATTTAACCTTTTTGTGATAACAAGCCTTCTAAATATGAGCCATATAATTCAAAAAATCAAAAATATTAAAAAGTTTTTACATGAAAGCACATAAAAACAAAAACAAAATCTTTCAGGAAAAAAAATCTAATGTACATATAACAATAAACACTTTAACTTACATATGACAAAAATATTCATTTTCTTTCACAGAACTTCGACTTGACAAGGCAGAACGTTCAACTAGTAACTTCCCCGTAAAAATCATGAATTCCTGAAAATCAGTTTGCACCTTTCTACAGCTTAATTCAAATGATCTGTTAGTAAAAAGTTACACGTAATAAATCATCTTACTACTTTCATCTTCATAAAATGATTAAATCAATTTAAAATAAAGCAATTACAGAGGGGTCAGCAATGCCGTTTCAGAAACGATATTATTTCGAGCAAACAAATCAAAGTTGTCAACCAACCTGGACGGAACTTCGTTGAAAGAAACTGAAACTGCTCAAATCATGAGTAGATTTGAGAGCCTTTGCTTTGCCATCAGGGCCTTTATGAAATACTTGGACTGAAAAAATCTTCATCGATAGCCCAGAAAACTGGACAAAAAATTCCGATAATGTGGACGTTTAGATTCTGCCTTCTTAAATTCACAGATTGTTCCACATTGATAGGCCACACGAACTATAAAATCTAAACCCATAACAAGCAGATAAAAACTATAAGAAACATAACGAAAAGATGCTAATAAGTAATACTCGCAAGCAACCGATCAGCTGAAGAACTATTGTAATTATTCCGATCTCCCCTCTGTGGTTAACGACCGGGAAACTATACTACTGAATTTATATGAAAATTTTGATAACGGAAGCACTGCAGTTCTCAAAATTTTGCTTACGAAGAGTTTTTTTTATTAATTCAAACTTTCCGACTTATCGGTTACATGTCTGACAGTTTTCCGCGATTTTTACCGAACAAAATTTGTCTCCTAGAACAAACTCAGGAAAACACAGTTTCTACCAACTAATAATAGTATTAAATCCTGGGGTGGTTGAAAGATAAAAGGTAAGTACTGATGGAAAAAGATCTGCACATTGATGAGCCGTTTCCTCAAATTATTCAAAATCGCAACTTATTAGTGTTTACTTTCGTTCAGTTAACAAAAAAACTCCAAAAAAATATGTATGGCAGATAAGAAAATACGTAAAACTATAAATTAAAACAATATACAAAAATTACAAATTAATACATTTACATCATTTTCCACTATAAACTGTACCTACACGCTATGATATTTCCATGTATCTAAGATGGAATGGAAGCCTGACTTACAACATTCAAAGGAATTGAAACTTTCGAAAATAAAACAAAGGGAAAAGCGATACATAAAAGACATAAGTTCAAACATAAGTCAATTCCTATACTTGTACAATTTAACTCGACGTTTTCTCATCTATAAGTTAATCCCCATATAAATCTTCATTGTTAAAGGAATAAGCACACACAATGCATACACACACACACACACACACACACATACATACACACACACACAACGATTCACTATAGAAATCACAAAGGAAAAAGGTTCATTTGAAAATAAACGATATATCTAAATGAAAGAGACAATAATCACAGCGCTCTATTTTTCTACGTCTTTTCTTCGCTCCGGAGCAATAAACCACTGTCTTCCTCTCGGCGTCCCAGAAATATGCAGTTGTATAATGATTAGAACAAACGATCTATGCAATTATCATATTTCGGAAGATTTTTACAAACCATATAAGAAAAAGGCTAACTTCATTACAATTTCTTTTAAAAGTGACATATTCATGTAAATTAAGTCCATCTAGTGAGTTGCAATAAAATAAAAGTTGAAAAGGAAGTAAGGGAAGAATAAAGAGTGAATAAAAATATGTACGTACACAGCTGATCAACTCGTAAATGAATTACATAAAAGGATAAGAAGCTATTAAAAAAAAGTATGATATCAAATAATGTTTCCAACATCGGCTTCCTGTCCCTACCTTATCTTCTTCCCAGAAATTTATTAATAGAATAGAGAAAGAAGGATTGATTAGCAATCGCTGCGGACAGATGAGTTCAATCTCAACCCCTGAAACTGAATAAATTTCAACATGAAGGGATTCTAACTTGCGAAAACTAAATGAAATGAAATCTTCAATAAGCAATATTTTACAAAAATAACACAATGAAATAACATTTTCGTCAGATATATTAACAAAAGGTCCAAAGTAAAACTAATGCACCGTGAGAAGCAAACAGAAAGCGAGATAAAAAGGAAAGTGAAGATGTTGAACACTAAATGTCTGATTCGATAAAAACACCTAATAATGCGAACAAAATTGTCAGTCATAAGCAGGTAATAATTTCTCGACTGCAGAATTCCATCCTTTCTCAAAATTTTTTTCAGTAAAGCGATTCACCGAACAGCGTGCAGCATCACGTATTGAATTGCGTTGCTCTGGACTCATTCGTATTATTTGTAGAGCACTATCAACAAAATCTGAAAGACAAAATTCCGACAAAGAAAATTAAATTATGAATTTTGACAATAAAGAAATTTCTCCCCTGTTCGTTTAACTTTGTCTCTTATCATCTGCCTTTTTTTTTACTGCTTCTTAGCAAAAATGTTTCAGTATAAGTTGCTCTTTCTAACCTCATTTTCAAGTTAGAAAGATACCATTAGGATGAGAAACTATAAACTTGAATGTACTGCTAGAAGTTATAATTTGTTCTACTTGTTGTTTTCACTATTAAGATAATCAATCGCATTCTGTAACTCATCTTCCTGTCAGAATTATTCAACGAAAGGTTTGAAAAAAAACTGTAAGAATTCCAACCGTGGAATGTTTTCTTCGAAAAATTCTCGCAATTTTGGAACATCCTTTTTTTCTTCATTTTTTTGAAGAACTTTAATAATTTTAAATAAAAAATAGGAAAAATTTGTAAGAAAAACTTACCATGCACATTGGATGCCAGCAAACCAAGCAAAATTTTGCTTGAGACAGCATTCGCACTTAATATATCCAGCCTAGGCCCACCTATAAATGCTAACTATATTGAATTTATCAAAACTTGTTCTGACTTTCAGTGCAAAAAAAAACACAAAAGACTAAGCAACCTGAATTGTGAGCGATCATAATTTGGCCAGCAGCAATACCCTCCACAACTGATATTCCAAAATGTTCATTTTGCATAGTGTGAATACCAATCAATGATTCCTCAATTTTAAATTGATAAGTATTTGAGTCTTAGCCTACATCTAAACATTAGGTAAGTGCAAAAATTCTATTACTTCAAGCAGTGCTGCTACTTTATCGACAGATGCATTAAGTGTCCACTCTAGATCATCATTGTTAAGACCCATATCTTCTGCATACAACTGCAAATCTTTGGCACGTTGAACATCGTTCATATCACGACATCCACCGCATATTACCAGTCGAATCTGCAATAATTTTATGTTTGATAGTTCTTTCTCTCCTGGTTTAAAATAGAAATCATCTATAGCAGCAGATTTTAAAATCAATGGAAATTTCATTCCTCCATAACTTGTTTTTTGTGTCACCGATGACAGTTAACAAAATCACACTATAGTAATATAGAAACTCCACTTTGTAGTCTAGATTTTCTTTCAATAATCGCTTCTTCAACTCAGCTAAAAAACAAATCTGCAATCGATGATCTTTCTCAGGTCTGATTTGTCCAATCGACAATATCTGCACTCGTCTCTCTTCCCTTAGTAATTCTTCCGCTCTAGAATTGATCCTGAAAAAAAATAATTAATACCATCATTCAAGTTTTCAACAACAGCCCCTTTCTGATAAATATCGCACAACTCCATTTTGAAAACCACATATTTGTCAGAAAATGCCAATTTTCTTTCCTACTTCCGTCTTCAATAAGTAACAAATAAAGAAACCTGAGCAACTTGTCAACATTACATGGTGGATAGACGAGGTATATACGATCGTCAACACCCCACAACGCCACAATATGATCACGAGTCCAGCTGAAATTTTAAAATTAACAAAAGTTAAAGATTCACAATTTAAAGTGTTAAATAAATAATCATATATCTAATTCCGAAGCGGTAAAATCATGATTAGTTTGAAAAGCACAAACTATGTTTTAATGCACAGAAAAAGAAAAAGTAAACAAATCACAACGCGACAATTTCCTAAATTAGCAAACCAGATACTTTGTTCAATAAGCCACTAATATGCTTACTCTTATTTTTTTGAATGATTTGTCATTTCTAACAATTAATTCCGGACGTTATATATCAATCTGTTTAATCCTTCTACGTCAGCATTAGCATCTTTACTGTTTAAGTAGCTGATAACATTAAAGATGGCAAATGAGATACTCACGTGCTATTGACCATAACAACTTCACTGCAAAAACCACTCAAGGAGTAGAGGATGGCAAATATGCGATAATATACCAATTTAAGATAGGTAAAGAGTCGATTTTTCGCTATCCACTGCGCATTGTTATAAGACAGTTCAGCTGATTCCACCAATTTTATCATTTCTAAATAGGATATTGAATATCAAAACAATGCATATTTAAAATGCAACACAAATGAAAGCAAAATTAACCACGTGAAATGACAGGATAATGTACATAACAAGCAACATCGCATCCAGCCAGCCATCTGCAAGAAATATATTTCTTGTGTTTTTATGATATATATATATATATATATATATGATATATTTTTATGATATATAGTATTATTTTGTTAAAGCACTTCTCAATAACATATATTTTTTCGAAGCAAATTCAAAATAAGAAAATATCGTTAATCTAGCAAAATTTGTTCCATTTTATCATAAAAATAATCCAAACCATTCTCTATTAATATAAGGTAATATATCTGCTATTCCATCCAAACATGATATTTCTGTTCTCTCTACAACTAACATTTACTAATTTCACCTCCAATGTCGCAGTATCTCATCCTGCTTCGTGTTTCAAAAAATAATTTTGCGTCAACTGCAAACTACAATATGTATCCCTTTCTATTTTGCTTTCATCCTTTTTTGAACAAATAAAAGAAAAAAAATACATATCGAACTCTGATAAAGAATAGTAGCAACCTGAACAACAGTAAAGCAAAGGGATAACCCATTGTGTCGATGAAAATATGTGGATTGTATCGACACAACGCCTCGAAACCAACCAGGAAACTAGCTAAATTTTGAAGCAACAATGTCAAATGTGGGTAATTGCTCGATTCTAACCAACATCGTGTACTATAAATTAAAACGCTTGGTGTTCAATAATAAAAGTTGAAACTTTTTGAAAATAACAAATTTCATTATACATCTCTGCAGTTTTCAGTATGAGTTTAGAGAAAGACTGTGACTAGTTGGCAAACGTTTGGTTAAACGTGATACAAAGTACAAAACTTATAATTGCAATAACTGGCCAACGGTTAAAAATATAGTTAATTCTAAGATTATAATATTTTCCATTAAATCTCGCCCCTGCTTTATGTACTACTATTGTAAAAAGGAATACCGAAGATAGATGAATTGCAAATTAGTATCAATAACTTCGATGTCAAAGCATTCCTTCGCTTTTTGCAAAATTTTTTGAGGTGTTACATCTACATCACCAGTATAAACCACATATCGATATTTTCCAGTATACCTAAAAAAAAGTTTGTTTTAAAATATTTTTAAAATTGCCAGGATGACAAAAAAACAAGAGAAATTTTTCAAAGATAAAATTAGGTCATGGAGAAAATTCACAATTTATGAACTTCCTGGAAAAGTCACAAGAATAATATTAGTGATTTAAATGCCACTGATTTGGACTGGTCCTCTTATAAACGATACTTTTGTTTTAATTTTTGCCGTAAATTGTTTGTCTGCTTGTATTCAATAAATTTTACACACAGCGAAGTACTTTCCATTGTAACCAAAAAGCAGGCCTTTTTCATTCGAATGCCTGTTCCATAAGTCATGTCTTTGTTTACATTTTCTTTAATTTACATTATTTTAATTTTTTACAATTAAAAAAAATTTTGTTCTTTAATTTTTATGTTAACCTCTTTCATACATGATGTTTAGCTACGGCGCTCTAATATACAAAAATAGGATGGTTCCATTCACTCTCCGGGATTTTGTATTTTTTAATATCTGCATAAATTCACTCATCATTTCGACATGAAAATAGTTGCCGTAGGAAGGCACTAAAGCACTAGGAAATGCCTCCAAAATCTTCATTTGAAGATTAGTAGACAAAGTTATAAATGCTGTTAGTTTAGTAAAATTGGTGCCAAGGAAGAAAAAAATCTGGAGAAAAACACAAAATTTTTTAAAACCTTGCTGAAATTTTGGAAATTAACAAATAAAAGATCTAAATTTAAGATCATCGAGGAGAGTACAACAAACACCAGACTTTATTTAAATTTGTAAGTTTATATTGAAAACCACAAAATAAATTAAAATTCAACAGATATTAAAAATTTCAAGATCTGTAGAACAGTCTTACATGGCTTATCAGAGAGTGCATTCATCTATCCATCAAAAAAGATAAAATCATCAGAAATATTTTTGATCAAATACCTACTTTTTTTGCATAGCATTGATAGCGCACCATAAGACGCGTTCACCGCCACCACCGGCATTGCAGTATGGATGAAAGAATGCTATCACACCACGATGCTTCCGCATCCGGAACCTATAAAATGTTACCAATACAAAATACACTAGCCAGGAGTAAAATGTTAGTAATTTAGTAAATATAGAAACATAAGTTGAATGTCCTTTTAAAAATACTGTTCAGTTATAAGTGTATTTATCACAACAAGAAAATTCAGAAGAAAATCAAAATATAAAAAGAACATAAAACATGGTGAAACGTAAAAGCAAACAGCAAGGACATCAAAATAATTCTTCCATTCATAAATGTACTTTATCAGTTATCTGCTACAGCACTGAAATTGAAATGTGCAACATTTCGATCGATATGTTAAAAAACAATGAAATTATATCATCATGCAAACTGCAGAAGAAAAAAATTCACAGTCTATAAAGCATGTTATGTAGTAAACGTATATCAGTAATAAAGAACCACAAATGTGTCTGTTAGACCAGTTAACATGGTTGTTGAAGCAAATGCTTCAATTTATTCAACAATCATATTAAATGGTCCAACAAACAAAGCAAAAAAGTAAATTTGATTTCACTTTACAAAACAAAACATACCATATCATTAGCAAAAGCGATATCAATAGTAGAGCAGAGAGAAATACAACTGTGGAATCCATAACCACCTAGAATTAAAGCATAAAAAAGTCAAAAAATCATGCACATATTATATAGGATGAAACGATAAATGCCATTCAAGAATCACCGAGAAAAAGAGTATCTTTAGTGGTCATTAAAATTTAATTATTACAATAGTGAATAATTGGCTAACTAAACCGATTGAAAACACAGTCACGTAAAACTACGATGATTCAATGATTATGTACACTGGCTGAATCATTCATAAAATCAAAATAATTATTTGAAAACAAGATCATTCAAAAAAGATAGAGTGGAGAAAAGTAGAGTGGTGTACTTCAATTATTTCAAATAAATCCATAAGCGTTAAGCTTCTAATTTTGTATTTTGTATGTCCCTATTAATGGATAAAAATTAATCAAAAAAAAGTAAAGCATCTGCAAAAAAATTTTTAAGATTATTGCCTGGCGTTCAGTTAAAGGAGAATGAGAAAAGTTAGATATATTATACGACATATTCTAATTCTCCTATAAGAATGAACCTATAAGCATTAAACTTCTAATTACTACCACTGTTTCACAAAATCTATCAGCTGAGAAAGTTCGACATAGCAAATTTTTCATGCAACAAAAAATTAAAGTGAATAATCCTCCAGCTATTTTTCCTCAATGAGCAGATTTTAATAATTTGAAATGACTGAAATCGCAAAAACCTAATGGCCACTTCTTAAATGTTTTATACTAGTTTTTGCTCAATATAATTCGAATTTAGACTCGAAATTCATACCGCAAAAAAAAGAAACAATAAAAGTAAAAACAAATGTTACACGTTTCATGAACATGGAAAAGATTAACTGCGCTGTTCCATTTTGAATTTTATTAAAGTATCTGACTTCTTATTATCTTGTTTATTTTCTTTCTCCTCTGTGAATTATTTTACAATATTATTAGCATATATCTTCCAATAATGAGAAAGGATCTTCGTTCAGTGTCCTATAATATTAGGAGATGAAGTGTGGTCAATGAACGAATAAAGGCAAGGAATGAAACCTGAGTAAGAAGTAAGCAATGTCTTTGCAACTGCGGAAATACGGAAAGAGAAGCAATGACAGAAGAAAGGAAAACGGACAAACTTTACTAGGAGAGTTGAAAGGATTAGCACAAAATAGTGTTAAAATCTTTTCAATAAAGATGAAAGTAGAAGTGGGTTGTGCGACATACCTCGCATATATCAGTATGGAGAGCAAAGTACCGGACCGATTGACCAGATGACATCCCTCCTCCCTCGCATCACCGCTCCACTCACCGCAGTCGACCGCTTATCGCTAAAGCAGAGACGCGGTCGTGGGAAGCAACGCGATATGAAAGCGTTAAATATTACAAGTTTTCGGATGAAGATTGGTTTCGAACTGCCGAGATTTCCAAAGATTGGAGTTCATTTCAAGCAATCCTGCTATTTCTTGCTAACATTTGTGAGGTGTTTTTTGTGACCAATATTGTAAAATAGACAAATGTTTTGAGAATTCTTTCTGTTGACAGTGAGGGAAGAGTATATTCTGTAACTTTCTTGATTTTTTACCTCCTCTAAATGTGGTTAGCATTCTTGCTTCGTGATAATTGCGGCTATGTAAAGGTCAAAATGCATGCTTTACTTGCACGCCATAGACTGCAGTTAAGTTGATAATGCAGTCTACTGCAATGAGACAGGCAAGTAGATAAAAGTATGAAGACTTTTGGAAAAGAAAAAACTGCTTGGTGGAGCAGTGAATCGTGCAGATGAATTTTCGGTGAAGTGTGAAGCTGTGATAAATGGCGGTATCTCAGCATGCCGGTTATCAGTGAAGTAACAACGAACGCTGTACAGCGATTCCCAGAAGGCTTGTTGGAAGTGGTGAGAAGAGCGATCGACGACTACAACATCGAACCCAAAGGTGGACGAATTTGACTCTTCCACTTTCTTCACAGTTTATTTCTTTTGGGGTCAAGATCTGAAAAGAGGTGACAGATAGCTTCGGATCTGCTTCTGGAGTTTTTAACAGTTCGATAAAGGCTGGGGACAGGTTGGTCAGATCTTTCTGTTTTCCAGTATTCAGAATGTTCGTTCACTTGCATTCGAACTTTTGCTGCGGATTTTGAAGCTGTAGAGAGAGGCTTTCATTGCATACTGAATCAACTAGATGTTACCTGAACATCACGTATTTAATGTCTAAGTCATCATCTTCTACGTCGAGAGACGTATATGCTAAATTTAAACGCATCTATTCTAATTCTTAAGTAGGTGTCATTCTGTTCAACTTAATTATCCACTGAATTATATGAAGATAAATTACTTTTCTGTTAGGAATAACATGCTGTTCTACCGCTGCATTTTAGTCTTTGCATTTTGCTACGAACGAAATGCACAGTTCTTTTTATTTTTAATTTGTACAGCGGATTAGCCTTAATTTGTTGTGAACTAGTAGGATCGTCCAAACCAGAGAGTGGTTTGTAGAATGCGGCATTACAGAAATGCTGAGGAACTGAACCCGAATTATCACTGATATAAGAAAGAGGTAGTTACATTGATTTGCTAAGCTTTTTTTTTATTAATGGCGATGTAATGTCTATCAGTATTACTTTGTCGGTATTTTTTAGTCCTTCTTATTACTGTTATCCTTCTCCTTTTCGGATATCTATTCTCTTCTACCCAACATTTGCGCATTACTGATGAAGGTATACAATTGTCAGATGTAAGCAGCCATTGATTTTGCAAACTTTTAACCTCACGATCGAGCAATTCTGAACTTAGTAAATTATTTTTTCAAGGACGGAATGACGACAAGCATTCTTCACTACTGATTCATTAGAAACAGTTGGTGATGATTCATGCTATCATTACCGTTATCGTTACCACCGTCGTTGACATTGTAATTATTATTACCGCTGTTATTATTAGTAGTAGTATTAGTACAAAAAGATGTTTGTTGTCTGTTACTTTCCCTTCGTACGAGTCCTTCTAATTTCAGTTGCTTCTGTTGTACGAATGCTTCCAATGGTACTTCTCTGAAATTACTTAGTTCATTCTTACGATAGTTTGCTGTATGGCCAATTTTTAAGTATATTGTTGCTGACATAATTTAACTTGAAACTAAATTTGAAATAACTAAACTAGCTTGCATGGTAAAGCTATCTTTTGGTCCAATCGATCTCAGTCGGTGTGGACCTTCCCCTTCCTCAGTGACTTTTATAAAATTATCAACCTGGAATTGGGTGACCTAAACAGAAATTTGTATTCTGCATAAACATAAGGTTAGATTGAAGGCTAAAATCTTGCACTATATCAAAAGTTTAAGCAAAAACTATCTTGTTGACTCACACACACTCAATGATGGAAAATCGCGGGCACGACGTAACCGTATAAGTGATATTTAAATCTAAATGATTGTATTCGCAAGCTAATAAGAAGTATTCATATTATCACAAAAATTTATAAGAGTATTTTATGCCATGCTGTAAATTAGCGGTCCATAGTAACAGTTCCTTCTGAAAATGAAGCTAGAACTGGTATGAATGGCAAAAAGAATGTAAGCTTACATGATAGTTATTGGTAGGGCAAGTATTAAAATACCGCACGTGATTGCACCAGTCGCCACCAGTTTTCCAACTGAACATTTTTCGTTACAGTTAATTCTTTGTAATTTGCAGAAAATCCGAGAGTGTGCAATCCACAAAAGCATCAAGGAAAAATTTGTTCCAAGCATGAATAATTATGGGGTAAAGAAACTATGATAGAAGTAGGATAGGGACATGAGTTATACGACTTCAACTTTTAACGATTTCTTCGTTCGGAATTTCTTAGCCTTTTCAATAGGTATAAAAAAAAAAAAACGTTTCAGTGCTCTGAAATTTATGCCAAGCGAAACGAGATCAGCAGTGGAAGTATAATGTGGTAACGAAAGATTGTTTTTGAGTGTAAGCGGGGAGGATAGAAAGTTGTAATTGTGATAATAGTTGAAACCTTACGGAGGGTTGTCGGTGTGAGATCTCCGTATCCTGAAATGGAAATTCGTGTAGAGATGAAGCAAAGAAATAACAGGAGAAGAGAGTCGTGAGTGCTTACGTGCAAATAGTCTATGCTCCTTTATAAGGTGTAGAAGAAGGTGGCAAAACTTTCTGTTCTCCTTATTTGTACGATTGTTTCACTTCATCATTTTCATACTGTTTCTGCTCTCCTCTGGACAGTTGTTGAAGTGCATTCCCGAGACACACAATCCCTGCCTTTCTAGCATGAAGATAAACACAGTCTGCATGCAGGAGAATTCATGCAGCAAACAATCAGGAAGTGAAACTTACCAACTGTTGTCATAGTAAGGATACATCGGAAAATTGAATAATAATGAAGTCAACGGTTGTATGAACGGAAAGAAGTGTAAGCTCCGCTGCCTCAAGAGAACAACGGGCAGCATTGCCAAGTCCTTTCATCTTTTAAAGAACCTCGGATAAGAAAGGAGAGTTGTAAATTGGAGATCCACATTGTCACCGATTAATTAATTACCCCATTAAATTATGAACTGCATTCTTACCACCAGCAAGCAGCTGGTATGGAATAAAATTGACTCCCTTCAAGTCCTTTTCAATGAAATACATCAGCGTGCTGAAGAATATCACACCAGTCAGGACAACCACTGCCATCATACTGAGCTGTCGGAAACTGCCCTAAACAGTTTGGAGTGTATTTCACATTTCTGAGATTCAACAAAACTTTTGTGTAAATAATCATGTGTAAAATATAATTTTAGGCTTTTAAAAAACGAAAAGCTGCTTACCTTTAACGTACGTCCGAACATTTGCAATCCATATTGTATCGGCCAAGTTACAATATACGAATGACCCGCAAAACACACAAAATACGAATTACTAAGAAGGCAAATTGCAAAGTACCTCTTTTACAATGCCTACCAGTTAGAACCTCAATAATATATGTATGTATATAATACGGGTGATACATTCATCCTTTCCTTCTACCCCGAGAATAGATCGAACTGATGCACGAGAAGACGATCCCTCCACGATACCTTGAGGTCTCGCACGTTTTTGGTGCTCAGTCCAAACAAAATGAGCGCAATTTCGATAACAGACGGAAGTATGGCGAGCAAATCGATGATGTTCATTCGGATGTTCGCAGAAATGTCTTCACACGATCGTAACTAACCAACATTTTTAATACATATTCAAATATGAACCAAACAATGCAGATGAATTCCAAACGTTCAAATACGAGTAGCGTTCCGTCTCCACCACGTGAAAGCTCTTTGAACCTGCAAAATAAATCATCTCTTCCTATTTCACAACTTTCTTCCTTTTTAGCGAAATCATAGCAAAATCCCTTTTTGCAAGTTAGCTGCATGCATACAGAGGCTGCATGCTTCACAGCGATAGCAATATGTAGATCAAGTCTAAGGAAAACCCAACCACTAAAGCGATGTGCTTAAATAATATCACAGAAATTACTCAATTATTGTGATAGCACTTTTTCCTTTCGTTTTGGTTCGATCAATTTATCAGCACAATATAACTTCGAGAGTTTCGGAAGTTGAAGAGAAACGATCCAGGTAGAGGGTGTACAGGAATTCATGTGTAGAAGAAATTCTAACTTCTCAGAAATGATTTAATGTTGTGCATTCAATGTTTGGATACCACTGATCTATCTGGCTGTCAACCCTCGACACATAAAAATTTTAACAGATTATATCAACGACCAAATTCCGAACTCCTAATGGTTTGGAGTGCTCTGAGCTGTTTTCCAATAATAACAGGAAGATAACTGACTTACCAGCAGTAGTAAAATTTCTTTGAGTTGAAATTCTGGTAACGAAGCAAGTACCAAGCCAAGTATTGATACAAATACAAACAGCACAGAGAGAGCAGTGAAAATCTGGGCAGCACATGAGCTTAAAAAGTATGATTACTCCTTTTCTTGCGTCTGTATGAAGAGAAAGTGAGCATAGTCTCATGTAAGATAGTTATTTACACGCTGTAACTGTACTGTAATTTATAGGTCATATGATTCATTTCTACTATTCCTGTTAGATACCTTCGGAAGAATTCAGAATTCACAGTTGACACTATTTAGTTGCACCCAAAGTATTTTTTTTTTGGCCTGTTGATTCTTTTCGTTCATTTTTTTGCGTTTTATTTCACAGTTAACAAACTACAGTGTCTTCTGGATTACGATCATAAGTTGTAACTGTAATCCTTTTCAAGTTGTTAGGAACTTTTCTTGGTGAACTAACGTGAAAAGAAGTTGACCGGAAAACATCAAAGATAGATCAGGTAAGACTGCTTCCAACACAATGATTACCAAACCGTCCGGACCTTGATGGCATTTCGATGAGATTCCAAATTTGTAGCCGATATTCCCTAAAGCGAAGATGCTTGAAATGGTCTACGTGGTCCATTTCTGGGCTCTTCTTGATTAAACCCGATTGACCGATATTTCTGTCAAAGCAGTAATACTCGGCCAAATAATTATCCGGAGCAATGCACCAATAATCCAATTCGTTCAGCAAATCTTTCAGGCACAGATTTTCTGGCAGGTGTATTACACCTGTAATTTGTAGCAATTTAATTTCAATTTTTTCCCAAAATTTATGTTCGCATAATTTATTCTGAGGTCCTAGAAATGAAGATTTTCAGTAGCTTCATAAAGCAAATGAGAAATTGACTAATTCTCACGAAGAGCAGACTGGCGGCGCATTCGGGATGAGTCGTGCTACCGAGAATAAACCAAGCGCATTCGGATTGTCTGATAATGATTGGTGAGATAAGTTGAGGAATAAATTTCAGTCAGTTAGGAGAATTCCCGATTATGATAAGACAAGAAAGAGTTAAACAAATGACCAATCATTTCACTTCCTATTAGTAGCATTCTAACAATGACGAAAACAAACGGGGAAGGGCAAAGGACAGGAAGTGTGGGAATTGCGGTTAAATGAAAATCGAGTAAAAACATATGTTAGCTGTAAGATAAAATTGATAAATAACGTTGAAGAGTAAGGCGGAACGTTCGAAATAATATTCCTTTGTGTTTTCAAGACATGCGCCTGCAAGAGGTATGTGTTTTTCATGCGGCCATCGAACGATCAGAGATAAGAGACCTGAAAATGAATTTTTTTCAAGTAAATTTTGTGACAGTCTTTGAGTCACTTATCGCCGAAATAGCTGTGCAAGAAATCTTGTCTCGAGCGTAGTTTGTTTGCTTGTTTTTACACATACTGTTGCTTTTATATCCAAGTAAATGGAAGCTTCTTTTTGGAATGTTAATTCAAAATTGTGTGTATTAAAATCTGGATTTGAGACTCAAATTTAAAAAATTTCCAGCTTTTGAAGCTTTCATCCGGTAATATGTTACTACCTCATAGAAAGTTTCAGATAAAAAACGACGGGAAAATGTACTCTTCAACCTTTGGGACACACACTATATAGGTGTCCTTTTGAAGCACATTGGCTTTTCTTTCTAATATCCAGCGCACTGTCAAATGAATTTCTTAAAGATGAAAGCTCGAAATTTCAAAAAAGTGAGGAAGGAATTGTATTGAAGAGCCATCATTGAACAAGAGTGCTGAAGCCAGGCAGAAATAGTCTTGCTAAGTCTTGTTCATTAATTTCGATATTCTGTTCGTATGTTTGCAGATATCTGTGTCACATGTAAATTGCAATGCGAAGATGATGAATTGAGATGTAAAACTTCAAAGTGACATCCAAAAGTAATAGAGGAAGGAATACGTGAGATTTTTATTTAACTCAGCTGCTGTATTTTCGATATTACAATATCAAACAAATAGTGGGAACGACAAAACGACGAAAGGAAAAGATAAATAAAAATTCATACCAGTTTGACGTCGCAAAATTGTCTCGTTACGTATCAAAAAATGTGTACCGTCAGTATTTAAACGTAAAAACTTCAGCATCAGCATTGTTACTGTCTGTTATTAGCCCCTTCTGCAATTAATGTGTATATTTATTCTGTCATGACATCTCCATCTGTCGCAAATTCACGAAATTTATTTTCCCCAAGGGAAGTCTAATATTGAGACAAAAAGCACATTTAAATTTTGAAATATTTGCTAAACGTTTTTGTCTGATCAGAAAAGAAAAGCCACTTGAAGAAGGAAAGAGACAAGAAAGCGTTTCCAAGTATGGATGGTTTCTGATTCAGGTTTTCGTAGCAACTTTTACCTTTTTTCTTTAATTAGGAGATATATTCAGAAATTCAAATCAAGTTATTTGAAACTGAGGTTTGTTCTCGGTTTCATTACTCGTTGAGATTACGATATCATTGATAACTGACATGATGCGATTACTGTTCAGTGAAGCTATTTGCGAGTCCCTTAAATTTTTCCTCAGTTGCAAGATTTCAATTAAACATCCTGACAAAATTTTGAAGTTCAGTAATTGGAGAAAATCCTTACTAACAAAAAATGTTACTCTTTTAAGAAAACTCGATCTTCAGCAGTCCACAGTATGATCATGAATGCAGCTGAAATTTTAAAATTAATAAGAAAAGTTAAAAAACGCAATTTGAAGTGTCAGATAATATCACTATAATACTCATTGTCAGATAAATGCTGCCAACACAATTTTTTGAATTCGCGAGACTTTTGCCAGAAGGATGAAATGCATTGAAAACTGCAATGTCTAAAAGACAAATTGAACGAACTGAACTACAAACTTTTGAATCATTCGCCACATCCATCTGACCTTCCATATCATGTTTCGAAAACTTTGTGCAAAGAAATTTGCACAGATACAAACAAACTTGTTTCGCGTTCCAAAAATAAGCTGATTGCCATGACTTTGTCCTGATTAATAAGGATTTGTTTGGACTATTTATATAATTCGGAATTCATCATTGGATCTTAATTGCACAAACTAATTTAAATGGAGCATGTATAACTGGAAGATAGGATTCTGAAGGACAGGATTCAGAAGATGATCAAGTTATGATCACCTGCTGAATCCTGTCTTTTAAATGGTTAGTCTCAAGTGTGTAGGATACAGAAAGGATAATCAAATGTGAGGCTTTTCTTCAAAAACTGAACAAGACTGCTTCTTCAAACCATTGGATGATGATGAATCGAATTTTGAAAGCCAAAATTTAAAAGTCGTTTGTATCTTTTCGCTAATGAGCAAACAAAGTTTCATTGCAGCTATTTACCCTACCTTTTATATAACAGTCGCAGCACTGACATTTATTTCAGACAGAATGCACAGTGTGGAACGTAATATTGCAGAGTTCTAATAAGCGATTCATTTTAGGAAGCAAATGACTTTCTCAAATTGTTAAGCAGCTAATTACCTCCTGCTGCACATCACTGATTATATGAAAGGTAGGACAACGACATCAGCAACTGTTTTATTAAGAAACACCGAAAATCCAATTAGCTAATCCGTAGCTTATTGTCTGCCATGCGTTGGAGATGGCAGTTTAACGCAGGTGTTCTTTAGACGGAAAAAAATCCAATCATTCCAATGATAGGCTTGGTGATAATAATATTAAAAATACTGATAAGAACTTTTTGAATTATTTACTGTTACTCAAAAACCTTTTTAGGGGGCGGCTAAAATATCGTCAATCAATTAACAGCATGTCATTTCTGATTTTCTTTCGCAACATCAAGAAAATACTCGGCAAGATATTTGCTAGTGGAGATATCAGGAATGTAGTGCTAGTCATAAAGCTGCTCAAGAAAGCTGAAAACCGGAATTTGATGCAATATCGAAATGCCTTCGGAAACAATCATTTCGAACCTTTCTCCATCAGCTGTTTAACTAACTTTTACACCGAATAGTTTTTGCAGAGGTACTATTTTTTCAAGGTTTCACGCCGATTCACGCTGCAAGAGTTTCAGCTAGTCCTGTCCTGCTCCTTCTCTTTTCAGTTTCTCATCTCAGAAAACATTTCCATGGTTCAGAACTGTGCATCCATCACTGCGCAACTCATTTTAATTTTATTTTTTCCGAGAAATCTATTTCATTTGAAATTCTGAAAATTCTTGTTACTTATCCTTCCAATAAAACCCATAATTGAAGCAAATGAAGATTTGCTGCTATCAGTCTCAACTTAATATCGCTTGACTTTTGGGTTCCACGTTTCTGTGCAGCACCGAGCCCCTTCTTAGAAGTCAAATGATACAGGAAGTGATGCAAAGTATAAGACTTTTTTCAAGAAATCATAAAAACTTTGGTTCGTTGTTCTCGCCATCTGAAAATTCCCTGCTACGGACCGACCTTTGCTACCCTCATCCCCTTCTTTCTCTTTACCCAATGATATCACTTCCGGCGACAAAAACACCCTTTCGCACTAAAATTGCGAACATTGAAGAAGAAATAGCGCAACAAAAGAGGAGTGCAGGTAGTTAGAAGAGAGAGGAATAGACAGTATAGGAGAGAAAGGTGTAGTGAAGTATAGTGGCGTCCGGCTGGAGAAAGTTGAGGGTTGGGGGTCGTGTTGCGCGAGTTTGTTTCTTAAGTCTCTTCATTCTCAATTAGCTTGCTTACTCCTATCCACTTCTCATTTGGAGGAAACCAAAATAATTTTGTAAAAAATTGTGGAATAATTAAATTTTTGTTATATGAATTTGTGTTGTGAAGGTTGCTCATCGGAGTTTCAATTATTTTAAAATATTTTATTTACTTAACTCGCTTTATTATAATGCACTTTATTTGTTGCACGATTGTAAAATATTAAATTGATCGTTAGTCTCTTTGTGTCTAAAAGGATTTTAAAAAGTGTGCCTCGATTCAGTTCAATCAGTATCACCAGTATTAGTTATCTAAGCATTGTCACCACTGGTAACATTATTAGAAGCACTACAAATTACAACCGACTCTACCCATAATATTCTCTGCTTATGATGTCAAAGAACAAATCCTCCGCGAACCAATAAAATCTTATCCAAACCGCATCTGTGTCACTTCACCTCCAAAAATAAAATAAGTTCCGTGGCAAATATTGCCTTTTTACCCATTTTTGTCTTCTTTATCAGTCACCCACTCTTCCCTTTACTCTATTTAACGTCAAATTATGCTGTTTGTCAACTATAAATTGTCACGACTCTGCAAAATTTATTTCAAATTCTTTCTATGGAATTTTACTTTAAACCACGGTACTGTCATTATGAGTATAATCGATGACCAGTGATTTTTGGCTGCAAACCTTTCTTCATTACATCGACAAGAGTCCGCAAATTATCTATTCCAAAAGCATTTTCAAACATCATTGGTCACTGTCATTTTTACCAGTGTTTACTTAATAATTATAAAATGCTCTTGTTTGCAAAAATGATTACGTTTTGCAAGAAAGAAAACACTATCATAACAAATTGGTGAGATTGAACTTTCACTAATGCGGTTACATATTTCTGTGATAGACAATTTCAGAATTTTTTCTTGGGTCAAACCTCAGACAAATTGCACAGTCGTAAGAAACAGGAGCAAAGTGCAAAAAAGGATCAATCCAGAAAAAGTTTTCATTAACATTTATGCAGAATTCGACATCCAACATCAGTATGACATTACGACGACGTTCACGTAGGTTGACATCGCAGAAACTGGAGGATTTCAAAGCATGTTCATCATTGGATGTCGGAGAGGTTGTCAATGATGAGCACGGTATATATATATGATGTTTTAATCGATTCTAATTAATTTTAATATAAGAAAAATTACGTATCGAAATGTGATTTTAGTACTTTGCGGGATAAAATCAGATGAAGGCAAACAAAAAGAAAAAATGAGGATGGAAATTTTGCCGAAAGTAAGTTTTTCTTTCTTTTCGGGAAAAGAAAAGCTACAGTGCATTTTTCTTGATGGATTATTGATACTTTTTTTCGTTGTTAAGTTTTCATAGATTTAATTTGTTCGGAAATTCAATCTGCAAAAAAATTTCAATGTCTTCATTCTTTTTCTACTTGCTGGTCTGAGCTTTTTAAATGCCACCTGACACCCAAATTATGAGGATTTTGCTTAGTTAATAGGGTAAACATATTTGCAAATGAATAGATCATTCTAGAGGTTAAATATTAGCAAGCAGATTTGATTTTATTTCGCTTTGACTTTTGGAATATGTATGGTACCAAACCTAATGTTCATTTTTCAACAATTACAGAAAGGCTCAAATTCTCATAATTCGCCGGTTGCTTTACGAACGCGGTCGCGATCGCGTTGTTCTAGTATGGAGTCTAACGATGCAGGTATTATACTTCATCTTTTTGTGTACTTTTAATGAAATCCACATATATTTTGTCTTATCCGTGTTGCCTTCGTAATGCGCCATGAATTTTTTATTTTCAGGCATTGTTGGAGATAGCCAGAAAGCAGTCAGTATTGTGTTAACCCCAACCAAAGTGAGAATTCGTTTCTTCAAATTTCCTAATTTTAATGATTAATTAATGATTTTTTTCCATTTTCAGACGAAACCGTGTCGAAAAAGAACTTCGTTGATGCCGCAATTAGAAGAAATCGTTGAAGAGCAGCAAACATGCAAAGACGAAGATAATAATAAAAACGGCCTAATGGGAAAAAAAATGGAGACGAAAAAAGTGTCGAAAAAGAAAGGAAAGCTATGGGGAAATAAAAAAGAGCATGTTGAAGTGTGTGCTGAAAAAAACTTTGTAGAGAAATCTAATAAGAAGGATGTGGAAGATACTTCTATGGAAGATATAGCTGGTGAAAAGGAGGCAACAAAACTACAGCAAAAAATTACAGAAACGTCGTGGAATAAATCAGGGGAAAGCCCAAAAAAATCATTTGCAAAAACTTTGGAGAAGTCACTAACAAGGAATCCAAAAAAATCGCATATGGAGAACTCAGATCATTTTCTGGAAGATAGTGCGAAAAATTCAGACTGTTCATTGGCAAACATTCCGGGAAAATCGTCGACAATGATTTTAGAAAAATCCTCAAAAAAGAATCGAGAAGAAATGCTGGCAAGCAGTTTATCGTCTACCATTAATTGTTTAGAACAGAAAGCCGAACTCGTCACTGTGACAAATTTAGAAGAGAATAGCTCGAACATATGGCCAAAGTTGGATAACTTGTTATCATTGTGGTTGAAGTAACTATTTTTTTCTTAGTATGTTCAGAGTTTTAAATCCTTGATCCCTCCCTCTGTCCATGTATATTTTTTTCTTTTAAAAAAAATTTTAGACGTGATGAATGTCTACTTGTGGATAGTATTGAAAAAGCATATGCATTTGTGATTGAAGTAGACGCACTAGTGCCGACGATATCAGAGGAATTGATCACGAGTAATAGCGAGACTATTTGGCAACAAATTGCTTATGGAAACAAAAAATTTCATCGATATTTTGCAAAAACAAAGGTCTTTCATCTTTTTTTTTTGGATTTTCTTTAAAGCCTTGATTTTATTGCTATTTTTCTCGAGAATATTCACTTCTTTTCCAGCATTTCTTGGACATTGAAGTATCCGCAGATAAGGAACTTGCAGAGAAACAAGACGATCCACTTCCTTCAGTTACTACTACATCTAAATTTCATGACGAAAATTCCGACGACACTAAAAGAGATAGCAACCATTTCTTTATGCCTGTGGAAAATGAAGTTAAGGTGGATTTATTTTCTACGAAAGAAGAATTTTGGAAAGAATGTCTTGTTATTATTTTTCATGAATCTAATAGACCTGGTTTTTGAATGAAGCACAATTTTATATATTGCATTTTCAGAGACTTGATAAGAACCTCACTGGTGAAAGTGGTAATAAAATCGATAAAAATGATGATGATAACTACAGTAATATGTCGAATAGCGAAGGTATTGGCTGTTTCAAAATCTCTGACAACGCCTCCAAAAAACGTTGGAAGAGTGCAGTTGATGATCATTTTTTCTCACTGGCGGAGATGGAGGAATATTTGGATAAACAAGAAAAAGACCAGGCATATCTAACTGAAAATTTTTTCGAACATTTTGATAAGGTAAATCTTTTTAACTGCTAAAAATTAGAACAAATAATTTTGTCCAAAAAATCCAAATGTCGAACCTTGTTTACTACAGTTAAATGGTTTCCATTATTTTCCGAAATTGTCTCCAAAACTTCTGATGTTTTTTTATGAAAAGTTACTGTGGACCACATTTTAGAACTTTTCAGGATAGTGATGATTTGCAAAATTCTCAAACTAACTATCATTATGCTGATTTTTATGGGAACACAAATAAAATTGAAGAAGGAAGTAGTTCAAAAGCTGCTTCCAATAAGTTGAACAGATCGAAAAGGGTTTGCCTCTGATTCTTAAAACTGAATGCATTTGTAAGTTATGAAACTAATTTTCAGATCTGTTTCACTTTCAAATTTTTTCCAAAAAGATATTTTTATAGATTTTGCAGTCTGGTGAACTGGACAATCGTAAGGAGAAAAGAGTTACATTTGCTGATGAGATCAGTAATGATCTGGATTATGAAAGTGATCAAGACGACAGCCAAGAGGATAACAAAGGTCTCTTGATTGATTCATTCATTTAATTTTTAACTTAATCAGTTTTGATATTTTAGAATCAACGGTACTTCTTGGTCAAGTGGACGAAGAAGATAGTAATGAAACTGAATTTCGGCGTCGACAGAAGAAAGTAAGATCAAAGTTTGTTAATGAGCAAACATTATATTATACTTTATTTGCGTTTATGAAGTACAGTTTATTGTTTTCAGCTTCAAGAACGAATCTTTTCAATAGAACAAACAAATCTAGCTCCAAGAAATTGGGATTTGAGTGGTGAAGTGACAGCTATCGAAAGAGGGGAAAACACGATGTTAGAGAAACATCTCGATTTCGATCAGTCGGCACCATGCGGTTTATATTAACTGTCATTAAACATGATTTTAAACAATTATTGCTTTATTCTTAATCATGATATTCATTTTCACAATTATTGTACTGTTGTTATTAACTGTAATCGTGTAATTTTTGCTGCATGGAAAATAAATGTTTTCAGCGCCAGTTATTACTGTTGACACAACCGCTCAGTTAGAATCGAAAATAATCCAGCGAATCAAGGATAGAGTAAGTGAAAAATTTTTCGGGTCTTATTATGATTAGATCAAAAAGAATATATCATTTTAATTGTAACTTACATCTATTTATCTAATGAGGAAGGATATGATCTTGTTGAAAATCATTTTTTGTTATTTGTTTGTATTCATCTATCCTTGGTGAAAATTAGACGGAAATTTAAGGCATTTGACGATGTGCTGAGAGTTGAACGTAAATCAGAAACAAATGCAGCGTATCGAGCGTCAGTTGCAGAATCGGAAATTGTGAAAAAGTCTCTTGCGGAAGTTTACGAAGAGCAGTATCAGAAAACTCAATATGGAGTTTGTTTCAGTTTTTAACGAGTTTTAGTGTAATGTGTGAAATTTAAATTTTCATCTGCAGTTGATCGTTTTAACTTGAAAAAATATGCTTGAAAAAAAATATATTTAACTTGAAAAAAAAAACTCCTACAGGTAGGAAATGAAGAGAAGACGAATGAAAAACACGAAGAAATCAAAAAGCTGATGTCATCGTTATTCCAGAAATTAAATGCTCTGAGTCATTATCGTTATATTCCATCTGAAGTAAGTTTCTTATGGCAGGAATAATAGATTTCTTTTCACTATATTTGTAATTATTTTTTTATTTAGCATTGAATTCGAAGAATAAGTTAAATTCCATTGCTTCAAGGCCAAATTTTTATCAATTCATCACTTCTTTTTACACATAATAATTTTAGTGAATCGCATCTAAAAGTTGAATTTTAAAATATTTTACTATTGCATCTTTTTTCCAGGTCAGTTCGGAAGTACGTGTCGTAAGTAACATGCCTTCACTTCAAAAGGAGGAAGTGGGACCTTTAGCATCCACCGACGCCGTGCTTTTAGCTCCAGAGGAGATACACAAACATGTTACTGGTCCGATCAAAGGGGATGATGAGAAAACAAAAACAGATCGGTCTCACTCGCGCCGTAAAAAAAAGGTTAATTAACTTTTATTCTGTGTAGTTAGTTATTAATTAAAATCGAATTCTTTACAATAAATATGATTCTCCTCTTCCAGTCGCAAGAATATTTGTAATTTGGTCTGTAACTCTCCAAAGATGAAGAGTTACAAGAGACGCATGCTATATTTGTTAAACGAAGATTCGTGTGACAATGCAGAAGTAAAAAGAAGAAAAATAGTGCTGAAACAGTTTAGGAGAACATAAAAAACCACTGAGAAATTTTTTCATATAGTTTTGGGAGATTTTTTACAAGTGTTAACATTACTTTCTCAAATTTTTTTTTGTATAAATAATCACCAACAAATTTCATAGCAAGTTGCCACTGATTGTATTCCAATAGTTATTATATTCTTAATTTTTTTTAATGGAATTCCAATAGTTATTAATATTCTTAAATTTCAGAAGTGGCAACATATCAAACAGTTTAAAAAACAAGAAGCGGAGCTTGAAGCCATTAAAAGTGAAATATCTGCTAAAAAACCAAAATTAATGTCTCAGCATAAAGAGAGTAATATGAAGTTGACATCTGCTTCGTTTTTTCAGCGCCTTCAAACCAAAGCTACAGAAGAGGTAAAAGTTGTTTTGAAATATGCTGCTTTAAATTTAAAAAAAAATTAATGAAGCATTTCCGAAAAGCAGATTGCTCTTCACTGGCAAATTTTAAATGAAACAAAGCCTGAAATCCTTCTGTTTTTTAGATTATAAATTTTCATTAACAAGACATATCCCTTCGTCTGGTGCTAGCAATAACGCTTATTAATTGCTTAACTAATTTATTGTTTTCAGATGAAAAGTAAAAAATACAAGATCACAAAGATGAATGCAACAAAGAAAAAATTAAGTACAAATTACAAGCTGTGATAAAGAATGTCTTGCATGTTATTCAGTTTATAAAAGCAATAAATTTTCTCAATCGAATATTTTGTTCATTATTTGTTCAATATATTCACACTTTTCACCAGTAAAGTGAGCGTGGAAAACATGAAATTAGAAAAATGTTTCGCTAGTGAAAAATGACGATATGATGGTTGTATTTCTCCTTAAATTTTTCTGCTCTCCAATGCTACTCGGAATTCATTTATGTACTGCAACCATTCAGCTGTAGTCGTTGTAATGTAACCATTTCTGCACGGGCAAATGATAGTATGGAATAACCTCTGGTTTATGTTGATGTTTCAAAAGACAAAAATATCTGAATATTTTCTCAGAAGACGTTTACATCGATTGGTCGGCAACATTGATTTGTGGGGTAACTAAAATTATATTCATTCTTTCATTAAGATTTCACATTCTGTAATTATGCTCTCTTCCCATACGTTATTGTTGAATTAAGCTTAATTTTATTTCTGGGACAAGAAACGATATTTAATTAGAATACAAAATTAATAGGACCTTTGAAATTTGTCCGAACTAAAAAGATAATCCCAATGAGTTCCTTGCAGTGGGTTAAAAGTAATGATTTTTAATGAAAAAGTGAAAGTAAAAGGACAGGAAAATGCAGAAATGTCAAAGATTATTAGTTATGTAAGTTTTTCGCATTTCTTCCATCCTAGTTTGAAAACTTGATAAATCACAGTTTGAAAACTTAAAAATGCATCTTGAACTCAAAACTATGGAATGAATTTAAGCATGGGAAGAAAAGCTTTACTAACTGATCAATCAATTTTGACCGCTTTTTTAATGTCCAAATAAGACCTTCCGATCACTTGCTTCTCTTCTCTAATGCAAGAAACAGATAGTATTATTTAAAATTTGACCAGAAATATTTCACTCCGATAGAAGCCTTTTTTGTTTAAAGAAAAATCAGATGAGCTGTGTTTTGGAAATGTGAAGTGTTTGTGTAACTTTTGTTCCTTTTTCTCTCTTTCCTCCTATTTCTCTCTCCCTAAACCAGAACGAGTTCGAGGTTTCACGACTAATTACAAACTTATGCAGTCCATGCAGTCAGTCAACCAATTAAGTTCCCCACTGAATAAATACAAATTTAATAAATAAAATTACTGAATTGTTTCAGGTTCTGCAGCACAAAAAAAGTTGATTGATAAATCGCTTATACGTCGGTCAAATAAACTTTGCTGTGCTTTTAATTTAATACTGATTTGACGAGATGACTTTTGTCAGGAAATCATATCACTAACACGTTTAGAGATAATTCTGCGCAAATTGGTTTCAATTCATTGCCATTTGGGAGGTCAGTCTTTTTTCCCTGCATTGGAAAGTAAATAAAGAAGTAAGAATCTGAAAGTAAAATTTGATTGGAACACAGTGAATCATTGAATAATGAGAATAAATAGATGAAGGAAAATTTCAGCTCCGATAATGACCTCTCATTAAGAGTAATAAAAAGTTTATAACAATAGCTGCAAAAGTCCTTTATCTGTCCTTTATCATTCCAATCTATTCAAAGTAATCAAGTCGTTTTGCCTTTCTCAGTGCAAAATTTTCAGAGAGAATAACTGTACCCATAATAGAAAATTGACAATTAACTGTTTTATTATGAAACGGTACATCTTTGGGATCGACACCTGTCCCTTCATTTCACTTGACCCCGTTTCCGAGCGTCCCGATAATATCTGAAAAACGATCAAGATTTTCCAGAATTTGCAGCAACATTTCAGCAAGAAGTTTTATGTAATTCTTTTCGGCCGAAAAAATGCAAAACAAGTCTTCCGAAATACGCCTAAACAAGTGAAAAATTTTCAATTTAAATTCCGAAAACACTGAAAGTGATTTTTTGCAGACACAGAAAAAATTAATTTTGAAACATCCAAATAAGAACTTCCTCTTTTTCTTCCAGTCCATTTCAAAATTTCTGCTCATCCTCATCTTGTCTTTTAATTTAACGAAGCTTCCGAAATTCTTGTTCATTAAAACATAGTTAAATAAACTTTGTTTATAGTTCGGATGGTTTCAGTTACAAACAGTTGATAGCTACTTTAAATTGAAATAGAAATTCAATTTAAATTAAAAGTTTCAATAAATTGCATTCGTTTCTTGATGGCAAGTTTAGAATAGAATTGAAGATTGCTTGCAAACTTTGGAACTGATTTAATTTTTTTTGATTCAACGATTGAGGAAGTCAACTGCAAACAAAGTGACCTCATCGATAAATATGTAGTAAAGGATTGGACGGCTCGATTTCGTCTCCACCCCAAATCCCGAATTTGAATAAATTCAACAGCGCCTTTCTCCTTGTTCTTCAACAATCCTTCCATCTTTTTGCGGATAATTCTATTACATTGATTTTTCAATGAAATAATCAAAATGATAAATAGACGGTATTAAATATCAACAAGCAATGCAATCCCAATCATTTCCAGTGAACAACTTTTCCAGTTATATATTAAAGCAGTTAGTGTAATGCTTCTTTTATAGGTTGATAAAATCTTATGTGGTTTGTGGCTAACATTACTAGCATTCATTTTCACCACCGTGTCCACTATGCTGTCAACTCAATAAATTTTTCACTAAGCCGACGTTCGGAGGGAGACTCCCTCAGTTTAGACCTCTACGGAGAAATGAAGATCAGTTGAAACTTTTCATTAGCACAGTATTCTATCTAACTTATCATATCCCCACTTCCACTGATTAGACGTGGAGTATTCATCTTTAGTTCCACCAATTAACTGAGGCCGGCCTTGATAACGAGATTGATTAAGTAGCTACGAAATGCAAGGAGAGCTTAATTAGTTTATGTAAATGCTAATTAAATTATTGTCGTATCGCAACTAATTGGCTAATCCCCTTTTCGTTTTTCATTGTGCTTTATCATTTCTTTTTTGATAATAAATTTTATAATGACGAAATATGCATTGAAAATTGAAAAGACGGATGACATCTTTTCTTCTGCCAATTTTTTGAAAGCATTTTGAGGCTAAAGTGTGGATGAGTGATTCGAAATTCACTCATCATCAGGAAACCACTCATTCTTTAGCAGCAGTAGCTGCTGGACCAACTTGCAATCCATCGGTCGGGGGACGGCAGATGGTGACATATCAATGAACCGATGCCATCCGCCAGCAGTACACAAACATGCCCACTTCCGATCACATCATCCATTAGTCGTTCTCATTCCGGTCGTCCATCATTTTCGTTATTGCTTTACTGACCTAAGGAACTCGAATTTTCTTCTGTAACAATCCCGGGACTTTCGCTTCTGACTTCAGCTTCGCATTCATATTTCAAACCGCATACACTAAAGAAGGGTCAGAGGAGGAGAAAAAATAATGCATTGCGCTATCAATGCTTTACTCTTTTAGCTTATGGCCTCAGAGCTTGCAAAAGAGCTTGATGAAAGGCTAGGCTCGTGTTTCTTCTTTCCGCCCTACCTGAATCGATTTTGGTGTGTCTAAAACTCATCATATATTTGCCTCTTCTAAGTATGAATAATTTATAGAGATAATAGCGAAAGAACCATGGCTCAGTCGGTTTTTTGGAGCCATTAGTTTAAAGGAAGTGAAGGAATGATTGATTATTGTTGAATAATGGCCAAGTCTAGCTCAGGCTGCTCACAGGTATCCTTTCCATGGTCAATTCGTTGAATCACGATTTTCTTTTCTCAGAGGGATTATGCACGACACTCATATACTCTCCCGTCACAGTTAAGCCTTACCTTATTCATGTTAACCTTTGCTTACAGAGGATTAAATGATCTCACATCTGCGGAGACGCACATCTCAAAATGCTTTATTCGTTTGTTAGAGTAGAACAATAGTGACATCTCCGCCCCGCTCCTCCTCTGATCCTATCTATCCCGAAATCTCTTACTGATCTTCTCATAGATATTTACACCAATCCCATGGGCAAACAAGCACTTCAGTACTTATTAGTAATATGCTAAACACTTGCATATCCCACCAAGACTGCAGTCTCTCCCTTTAGCCTCCTTTTAGCAATATGTTGTAACGCCGAAGGTCACCCGAGGTCCACCTGGCTTTCGCTGTGAATTTGTTGATTGATTGTTGATCTTTATCATTGAATTGTTGCGAACTTGCTGTGAACTACCCTCTCAACTTAATATTCAATCAGTCATTGGTTTTTGATTCCAGTTAGGAAGTTCAGGTTTATTGGAAAGCAGAAATCTCTCTTAAAGCATCTCTTTCACTCCAGAAATTTCCCATAAAATTTGATCGAAAAAATTGGGATGGAACAACGAGAAAACGAACAATATCCCGGTAGTTAATGAAATAAACAAATGTCTGTTTATAATGGCCTATTGACTCAATCATTTAAATTTGATCGCAAATATTAACTTAACTAAGTTAAAAAAGAAAATTAAAGAGAGTGAAAAACCTGTGAAACGATGACAAAGAAATCACGTTCAGTAGTAAGTTATGAGAGAGAGAGAGAGAGAGATCTCATTATGGAGTCTCTTACCCTTGCAGAACAAACCGATAGATTTATTTCATTTGGAAGGGAAGGAAATTCGACAATCGCATTAGAAAAAATTTCTTTTTCTTGACAATTTAAGCTGCATACCAGGGGAGGGAGTGAAAGAGTTTTTAAGATTCGGAGTTTGCAATTATCATAATATGAGCACCGAGTATTATTTGGAATATGTAATTATTTGTAAGATGAAGTGAATTCTGTGCAAGTTGAGATTTGCATGAGTACATGACATCAATTTCACCTCTCAATACTGGAACAGAAATGGAATTGCGAAGTGGTGTGGGTGTGATTTCCCGAGATTGGGTGGAAAGTGAGAGCAAGCATAGAATGACAGTGTCCACTTTGTAATTCGAGGAGATCTGTAATGAGATTGGGGAGGGGAAGGAGGGACAGTCTCCGAGAAGGACTAGATCATTCAGCTGCCAAATGCTCAGTTAACAAGTAACTCCAGTTATTATGACATCAGTGATAATCCGAAATAGCTCGAGCCACAAGGGGAAGAGGTGACTCACCAGTTATAAGGGATTATCCCGGATATCTCACTCTTAGCACATATCAAATCATTGCTTCCCTTCACTAGCCAAAAGGGTTGAGTTTCAGCTCCTGAATTGGGTGGAAATTCACGAACTAAGAATAATAAATATGACGTGTGTTTGACTGAAGTTGTCGTAATCAAGCGTGTATTTTGAATGGAATGGATAGCATCCAAGCCAACTCTTCCAGCAAATGTTTAAAGATCTCTCGAAAATTCGGTCATGACTCATTTCCCTGGAGAAGGAAGAATCAGGCGTAATCTCTATCATACCCCACTGAGTCTTTGTATTACGATTCAATTTTCCAAAAAATCACAACTTCGAAAAGTTGAATTTCTAACCTGCTAACTAATCAGAAATAAATTTATCCTCTTTCTAAAACTTTTATTCTACACTTTCCAGTTCCATTGTAATGTTATTATGAACTTTCACTTTACCAGTTCAAAGTGTCACATTTAATCATTCCATGGATTGTTTGAAGAAGACAGCAATTCGAATAGATCATAAGAATGATATGAAATTCTTCCCAATGAATGGGGATGCTTTAATTAGGCTGCAAATTTGATGGCATGGCGTGTAAATCATTTCACAATGCTGATTTGTGGATGCCCAAAGCTTTCTAGTCTGTGACCTCAGTCCTCGCTCTCACCTGTTGACTACCTGCCGAACAAAACCCTGCAACGTAAATCCTATTCAAATAGCCGAGCTATTACTTGTGCACCTGCCTGTCCATCTATAAGCTCCAGGTCAACAACCTTCTTCAATTCCTTCTGTGCTTGCCACAGCTTCTTCTTAGCCCATCTGAAATTACTCATCAAGAACTGACGATCTCTTAATTCAGCTTTGACTGCGTATTCTCTAGCTAGAAGTGAAGGTTATAAAAGGAAATTAGTATCTAATTCTGAGAGTATTAGCATTTGTTTCATGAGTTCATGTTCTTTAAACTGCATACTCATTTCTCGACAACATTTTGTGCAGCATGTCACAACATGTCTCGTTAAATAAACCGTCTGCTCTATCAGGAGCTCTTGGAACAAATTTGAAAGGATAATGCTCGGAAGTTGGTGAAGAGTTCATTCATAATGAGTGCCTAAGACTGGAATGACACCCACAGCAAAAAGGTGAAGGACAGATACTTCGGGACACAGGCCTGGGAGAATAGGACCTGCAAAAGTCTTTCGATAACTTTTGAACTGCTTGTCTTAAATATTGTTCCTTCAGTGTATTTCAAAATTGAAGTGTCTTGGGAGCGGATACTGTCCTACCCCAAATCTGATTTTAACTTCAATTAAATCTTACCCATCGTAAGGCTCAGTTCCGAAGACACGGCTTTATGGCATTCATAAATGTTGTTAACGCATGTTTACGGGTTCTTCATGAATTCAACCACTCTTCATGATAAGGGGCATTTTGTAATCTCTTTCGGCTCTCCTCCCTTACCATCAAAGAGTCATCAATCAACACGAGCGAGAGAGAGAGAGAACAGCAAAGAGGGAGAAAGAGTAATTGAGGGAGTATTCATGTGGTGTGTAATCGATGACTCCTGATTTAAATTCATTTTTCGTTCAATAATTCCTGCCTTTTGCAAGAAAATTTTGGATTAAAGGACGAGCAGAACCTGTCATTGCGATCGGGAGGAGGGATCGGAAGCATTAGGAAGGAAGTTATCAACGTTATCAATGGGTTCTCCACCTGCGGTACGGGTACAGATCCGCTTGTCTGCGTAGTCTGAATCTTTCCCGAGCACTCATCCATTCATCCCGTGGATTTCGAGGATCCTTCGAGAATGGAACAAATTTGAAACTTGGCAAGTTATTCATGAGAATTGTTTTCTCATCTGTTTACATTAGCGGATTTTTGTAGCTTTGATCCAGTAAAGTATTCGGTTGATGGGATGGGATCGCTGGATCAGAGAAATAATATAAAAAGTCTCGCACTCCGGTTGGTTCGTGAATTCCTTCTTACTCTCTCCCTCCCTCTACTTGTTTTGTAAGGCAGTGGGACTGCTCCCTTCATTACATCTCCTCTGTCCATCATTCTTCAATTACATGCCAAGGTCGCAAGTGGACCCAAAAAAATTTTAATGATCTGTTGATGATATTTCTTCCCAACTCCCTCCCACCTTTCTTTCGCTTCTTCCTGGAAGTTGATAGATAACAGTACCATCACTTTCTTTCTTTGACATTTTGCTGCATTTTGCGTTAGCAAATGAATGCTTTAGCAAAGGGATGACTCTTCTGTTTACCGTAGCAAATGCGTTTCGCTTCATAAGAATGAATTTCAAGATTGGCAATTACAGTGGAAGATTATGTATCGCGAGATCGATAGGTCATTTCTCGGTGACAGGGCTTTATCGTGAGGAATGCAAAGTAACCACTGGCCGTATGCCATTAGATAGTTCTCCGAAGCATTTTCCGCCCCCGGATAGTTTTGTTATATCTTCCTGGCCTGTCCTTTGCATCACGTCGACTCGAAAGACAGGAAGTCTCGATGCACAAGAGATAACTTTACTATGTCAAACAAAAGAGAGATAATTTCTCAGTACGAGAGTATCCCTATCAGTTCTACTACCGAAGAAATTGGGGAACAAACACAGCGAGACTCTTTCGTGAAATTGTCATTTCACTGCATTATCGTTCCTGATTGATCACTGCACATTCCTTCTCGCTGCCGTTATTTTAATTTTAATTTAATATATCCAATGGAATGGGGTAATTACCTTAATGGGTGTAGAAGCAGTGAGTGATAACGACAATTTACGTTAATTGCTTTGTAATGTATTCTGAGTTGATAAATTAACGAAGAACTATGAATTATGAATACTAACTTCCCACCATATGTATCATATTGATAAGGAAAAATAACATTTTATGTAGTCTCAAGCAAACGCCGTCCTGTTTACCAAAGGTTGTCGTTAAGTTCAATAATTTCAGGACACGAAATCTGCAACCTTTCACAACATTCCTAACCAGTATCTAATTATAATAACTAAAAATCTAAACTCTGCATTGTTTAATGAGCGGATAGATTCAGGCAAATGATTAAGTAAAAGGAGTGGAAGAGTGCGGAATACTCGTTGCACCGAGCATCAGAATCATTTTCAGAATCATTCTAGAGGCTTTCTGGAGTCCATTTTCAGTCCGGGTATTCTGAAATAGATGCGTAACTCTTACAGCATAAAGTTCAGGAATTTCTCATTATTTGAAATTCATTCAAGCTGTTTAGTTGAACTTTAGGAAGGAAAGATAGCTAGTGATAAGCTAATTAATCATCGCTTCCTGATGACCCAACTTGCACATAAAGGTGAAGGTGAAGGACCTTAGCAACAACTGTTGTTCTTTGGTTGTCCATTATTCATAACGGCAGCCACCGGCTATCCTCTCCTCGTCGTCGTCCTCTTATCCATCGAAATGGCCAATAGACGACCCTTCCTTCCTCATTCTCGAACCATCCATTCATTGTTTCGCTCATAAATGGCGGAACAACGGCGTGCTAGCACGACAACAACAACAAAAGTGGCTTTTTGCTTTTATCCTTCCAAATTCAGAACTTTCTTTTATCAGAAATTTAGACGCCTATCCCCATCACCATTTTCTTCTCTCTCCTCATTTTTTCCCTTCTTTTCATTCCAATTTAATCAAATTCGACCAAAAAAGCTGCTCAATTTCTAAGGGTGCAGGATATGTAGCAAATCAAATTACAACTTCATTTATCTCGCTCATACTTCTTACCTACGTAAACTCTAAGGCCGTGGGGATTTGTCCTTTTGCTAAAGCAAAAAATTTACCTTTAGAAAATTGAAATTTGAAATTACTTGGGAGGGAAGGGAGGTTAGAAATAAATTGATTATAGAGAGCGGATAAATAGAATTTAGTGTCGCTTTCAGTACGCCAAAGATTCGCCGAAACATACAGCTTCATCTGCCAAATAATCATATTTAAGTTGGATTCCATTCTATGACCAAATTTTATACTAATCATACATATTGCAAACCTTCTTAAGTTGTCGCACGACGGTATCGTCCTTTCTGAAATATCGATGCTTAAAAAGTATTGTTTACATATTTCCATAAAAAATTAAATAATGCACCGTTCTTTTGTGCCGTGTCTTTTGGTTTAATGAATACTCCCAAACTGTCACCATTTTTGATTACATTCCGCACTATGCGCCTTTGACGATATTAAAATAATGAGGAAAAAAGTGATAATATGGAAGAATGAGTTGACATCAAACGTGTGACAATATATTGTCCTTCTCATTTGTCGCATTGATAACAGTCTTCGAATCGAATCGAAAAGTTTTTTAGCTTCATTTTTGTACTTTGGAAATCCAAAACTCAAAAGCTATGTGATTTTCCTTCTATTCCGAGACCGCGGCATAGCGGCTTGATCCATTGATTCATTGTGCCATTAATTCCCATCCTCTGCTATAAATTCTTCTTTGACCTTCCGGAAGTCAACAAACAATCAGAATTTTTTCCGTTGAGAAATCATTCATTATGGAAGTGATTTGCACGGTCTCTCTATATAAAGAGAGAGGGAGGGAGGGAAGAAAGTTATTGGAACTCATATGCACATCCGAGAAGCTTATCAGTTTATTTGTTATTCACTGCTCCATTTCCTGAAATAGAAGACACGATGACTTACGATTGTTTTGGGAAATTGCAATCTATTTCGCCGATAGTTGCGGGATGAAGAACAAATGATGATGAAAAACGTCGATAAATGTCTACCAGCCGAACTATGAGACATTCGTGTGACGAGAGAGATAGTTGATTATGGTACCATCTCGTTATTATTATTACTATGTCGGAGCATTCATCATGTCAACCATATGTCCTCAAGCTCATTCTCATGAACGTTATAAATTGTGTCCCGAAGATAATCATCATTTATATGTGGCAGCTGCCTTGTTCTTTCCATTGGCTATTCATTCATCTGTCCTTAGCTATCCTTATTTTATATTTGCAAGGTCATCTGGACGTAATAATTACCATTAGCTTTTCCTATTCAGATCTTTGCTAACTCTTTTTAAATATTCCCGATCATCCATTTTCTCAACTCAGAGCACATTTTGCTCAAATTACTACAAGTATCGATGATTTGGGAAAAGTATTTGAAGTTATTGTCAAGATCCATACATTTCCCATTCATCATTTCTTCAATGCTTCTCATAAAAACAAAAATTGTCGTTCCATGACATAATGGGACACACGCGATGAAATTCTCCAAGAAGAAGACAAGCACCACTTGTCAACTCAAAGATCAACGGTCAGTTATCATTCCCGATCTCTCATCTAATGGATATTTTATTAAATCCACTAGAAGATGCTGAGAGATTGAATTGTCTCTGATTGTAAATTAAATAGACATCGCTGACATGTATCCTTCCTTCAGGCCATTTTCAGTGTCATTATCTGTCCAGAACTAATCTCCTCTCCACTCCCTTCATTTACATCGTATGTGCTATGATTGGAGCGTGTGTAAAATGCTTGATAAGCACAATCATTTCTTTCAATCTGTAAATTCCTGACAATCAGTTTCCTTCTGGTAGCAGCAGAACCATCTTCTCCAGTAACCATTAATTTAACAGACATTGATAAGCCAACTTTAACAATGCACTTAGCATCAATACTCTGAAGCTCGAAGCTATCATTACACATCACATAGAACTGAAGTGAAATTGGAGAAAAACAGTGATAACTGACAAAGAAAGCCGTTGGAAGAGGGTGAAGGATTGAGTAAATTTCGAGAAGGAATCTTTTCTAATGAACTGCAAGAGTTGGATCCGGAAAATTTCCGCATCCAACATCAATACATTTTCTGCAATTACTCCGTCATGACTCAACTTCTCGATCAATGAAATCATCAAGGAAAATCTCTCTCAATCGGTAATGCATATTATAGTATTGCGCATCCTTGTCAGATTGCATAATCATTCCTTTCTCGACTAATGAAAAACACTATCTGTCATTAACAAACAATCCGATGAGATCATTTCAAGCTGTTCAAATAGAACACTCTGTTCCACAAAGCAGCAGTAGGCTTATTATTCACTTTCTTTCCTTATTGCCAGCCAGATTTCAACAGCTACCATACTTCAATTTTGATAATCATTTCCAATTTAAAATGAAATCTGATAAAAAGTAAATGTGAAAAATGCAAATTTCGTTTGATTTCTTGACTGTGATCAATCTTGGGATGAAGTTGAAATCGAAAAAATATCTTTCACAACGGATGTTATGTATTCTTTAGCTATGCCTCTTTCCATTTTCACAAGATCTCTGCAGCTTTGAAGTTCAAACATGAATCGCAGTTTAGAATTTTTGGCACTAATCGAAACTTTGGAATACTTTTGAAATTTTGACTGTTCGAAGACGAAATTTGATCAGAATGAAATCTTCCATTATGATGGATTGATGTGTGATTTCGGTTAGAGTGATCAATTGTCATTTGCATAAATGCAAAGGAAAGCAGTTCGGGTCAGACTTCTCACCCAAATCTCAGGATTAAATAGACCGAGGCCATTGGCTTCCAAGTGGGCTGTCCATTGAAGGTTGCAGAAAACAATATAACTGTCCCTGAGGATTGATCGATGCGGGATCGGTCGTTAATACTGTGAATTTCGAATCATTCGATGGGTTTTTTCCGGTTGACCTTTGCAGATTATGCATTATCGATAGCGACGGAGGGATATTATGCATATGAATGAAGGGGAAAACGATTGATAGAAGTGTGAAGAGAAGAGAAAAGGAGAGAGAAAGGGAGAGGCGATTAGTAGGAGGAATATTTCAGGAAAAGATGTAACGATAGAATTTCAAGTTGACAGTCAGAAATTTGCTGCGTTGTTAATTGTCACAGTGATGTCAATGGAACGGAGGGTGGTGCTGATAGGCAGATGGTCCATCCGGTAGGATGTAAATTATAGTTTGTTGGATAACATTCCACCTAACCTCATCTCTCCTGTCCTATCCCCTGAACTTCCCTTTACTCCCAATGATTCTCTCCCTTTTCACTCTCTGTGTTTCTCGCCTTATTGTAAGCCAACAGATATCATCCATAACTAGTTTTTAGGAGGAAAAAGTAAATCACATTGTTGACTCTTCCATGGAATAGGAGATGAGTATATTCAGGAGTTTCAAATCTATCAGTTAAGGATATATTATGCATAATTACTGGTCAGAATATAGTGACCGCACTCATTATCGCACTATAATGATGATCCTGGCCGATAAAATCAGTAGACAGTGCCGAAATTTGGGCTCCGTTGCAGAAAAATTGTTTATGACATGTTTGAGAGCGAGGATAACTCATCGAAAGGATATTTTCAGCTTCACGGGTATTTTCCCCACAGGTGTGCGAGGTTGAGAAAAGTACAGTTCCTGTACAGAAAAAGTTCTGTTTGTATGATGATGGTGTCGAATGTTCCGTAGTCCAACAAGCTCTCAGTGGATAATTTTGCAACTTACAGAATTCCAACCTTCCCTTGGCTGATAATGGAAGCTCCATTCTTCAAACATTTCATAACGTTTGAAGCACAGAGCATTCAGTCTTGTAAACTATCGCATCTTCGTTTGCAATTTGCTCGCTTAATTTAATCTTTCTCTTTCCTCATTATCATATTGATCAATATGACGTATCCACCATTCGTTTTTTATGACGAGTAAACTGGATGTCAGTAGTCAGAAACAAGATGACAAGGTCGATGACCATCTCGATAAGCACGTCTTGCTCCTCCTCACCGATTTTTATTCAATATTCTAAATAGCGCAGCTTTGATTCAGCTTAACCGGCACCCATCATTTCATATACTTTCTTCGTACAATCTTCCCCAATTCTTGATCGGGTTTTCGAGGATCACCTTTCAGTCCAGTAGAATAAATGACGGCTCAACATGAATACGATATCATCAGGCCTTCCTGTCTATCATTTCTCTGTTCTGATGACGGTCATTTTACGATGGCAACTATTTTTCCCAAAAGTTTTGTTGTTTCTTTGAAATTATGCTTTCAGAAATTTGATCTTGGCAAAATAAGTAACTGTTTGAGATAACTGAAATGAAAATATTGCTTGCAATACAAGCCTTTGCTTTCCTTTTTTGTGAATTTTTGCAGAAAAGAATAATGCCAATGAGAAAAACGTCTTTATCATTTATCATTGATAATGTATCTTCTTTCTTCGTTATTGAGAAAATGGGAAGTTAAAACTGTTGTTACATTCCAACATTTTCATCTGATATTTCCAATTAATAATCAGTGTTGATAACTCATTGTGAACAGTTTTGCTCTGTTCTGCGTTGTCCTTAAAAGGTCTGATGAATCGTTTTCTTATCAGTTATTGGAAAGGATAGAATGAATGTCTTCCTTTACTGTTCAGAATTATAAATATCGATATTTCTGAACAGAACTTCGCATAACAGTGATTCATGGAGATTTGCTTCTCACAAGATAAAATTTTATAGGATTTATTGAACCCTCACTGACTCACTGAAAGACATTTTAACTTACTTTACTTTCTTCAACTCGGCAAAATGAAAAGAGACTATAGGAACGATATTCAAAGTATAATAAAATATTGTCCTTTGCTCGGTAATTGAATTTGAAATTTATCAATCCACCATGGCCTATCAAGTCTCATCTAAAATCTCTTCAGTGCTTCATCACTATTTCATCCTTCAAATACTCATTTCAACAGTCCTTTAGCTAAATGTGATAACCAAAGGTTTCCCTGTTTTTAACTGCCGAACTTTCGTTCTCCGTCAAATTCCGTCCTTCCTGCCCTCACAACAGTATCCTTTGAAAGGGTTGTTTAACAAGGAGAGAGAAATGGATCGATCAGTGAGTGTAATACAAATATTGCCTTGTATTATTTCAGGGAGAAATTAAAGAATTCAGAGGGGCGAGGATTATTGACAGTGTCAGCTCTCACACTTCGCATTATTTCGGTCATTTTCAATTTCGGTACTGTCTTTTCATTTCGTTAATTCCTATGAAAACATCCTTCACTATCTCTTTTCTTGAAAGAAAATTCTTCCGGCAGTGACATACTCCTTTGCTAATTTCGCAAAATCAGTGCACTTAAATTGCTTTCTTTGCAATTTAATCCTTTTCCTCCCTCTAAACTTCTAATTTCACCTATTAATTCAACTAAGTAACGGAAGTAAAAATTAAACTTTCAATTTGTCGCTGTTCGGCATCCAACTATTCGGCATCTCAGCATATTCATTTTCAACAATTCGTCTGTCTGCTGCTCAGTTGAGTTGCGATATATCCTTTAGGTGCATTTCAATTAAAGGAATTTCTTAATTCGAATTGATCTGTTCTCCAACTGCTACAAATTCCTTTTCTTGCTTTGTTTTTTTTGCCGTTACTATTGAAGTGCAAATTCATCGATAATTTCGAAATAACTAGTTTCAAACTTTTGAAACATTTTCTAATGCAAAAAACTGTCATTGATATCAAAGAGAAAGAGAGAGAGAGAGAAAGGGAGAGATGGAAATGGGAATTGGATGAACGATCTTGAAATGATTATGTTGCTGCTTCAAACAAAATCATTCCACTCTTGCCCTTCCGCAGTTTATTTTTTGTTTAAAAATGATTTTTTTTCCTCTCAATCTTTGAATTTCATTTCAACTTTTTACTGTTCTTCTTGAAATATAAATCACTGAGTGGAGTGATGAGAATTTATTCTGTCTTACGGTTAACAGTGCAAATTTAACCGGTTGATAGCAATCTAAAAAGATAGCCATGCGTGGGCGTGATGAATGGATATGAATTGGATGGAGAGAATTTGTTGACACAAAATTACGTACTCCAAAACAACTGAAAACTGAAATGACCACTTTTATTCGAGAGCAAAAGAGAGAATTAAGAAAGAAGCAGTAGAGAAACAGAGAAGGGAAGTTCTCCTCTTTAACTTGTCATATTTTCCACTTCTCCATATATTCATCATAATCGAAAAGTTGTTAAACCCATTATCCCCAATGAAAAAGTTATAACTTCTGAGGCACTGTTGCGATCGTCGATCGGGTCAAAGTTACTTTTCCCTTTTGATCGCAGTTTAAGTTTTACCTGTTATTTTAACAGCGCTTGTACTGTCTTCTATTATTTTGTTTCGAGAGACTTTTCATTTCAGCTTTTCCGAACGAACCATTTCGCACGGGAAATACATTATCGAGGGTCAAATTCGCCCTTCGGTGACAACTTGTGATGTCCAAAATTCCGAACTGGTAATTGCATCATTAGACGATGATGACACGTTGGGGGGAAGTACCGATCTTCTGCATCATCATTGTCACATTCCCTCAGGTGGTATTGACAATGTGTCCACAAAAATGCGTATGCATATCTGAGGAGCAAAAGGTGACACGTTGTGATAATGCGGCATTAACTGACATTCCAGCCTTGTTGGATCCACGGATTACTTCACTAACTATGACCAATTGTACACTGAAACGACTGGATCCGGATGTTCTCGAATTGTATCCTGGTAGGTTTTCGATTCATTACCCTCAATAAAACAGCGGAGCAGGATTTCTGGCCAAAAGTAATATCGGAAATCCTAGATCTGGAATACCTCGATTTATCTTTCAACAAAATCGATGTGCTTGGTATGAAAATTTTCAAATATCAAACAAGGCTCCGAGTACTACGTCTCGGAGGAAATCAGCTCTCGTCGCTACAACTCGACAGTTTCATCGGCTTAAGCCAATTACAGGTAAAAAAGTTTCAAATTTATATACGGCGAAACCGTAAACAGAGGTGAGATAATAGACTTCGTGGAACGCAAAAGGTTCTCTCCAGAATACTCCAACGCCACACAACAACATTGTTAATTGGCTAAAGATGGAGTAATTTCGATAAATTAAGGCTAATGGGCTTTTTTCAAATCGAATTGATGCGATGAGTCACGCATCTCGAAGTGACGTCGATTGTCGATAAGTAGTGAAGGGTAGTAATTATTGATTTTTAATATAATTATGATTGGCAGCAATAGCGCATCGATTACTATGGAAATTAAATGAACAGAATTTTTTATTGCAATAAATTTGAAGGGAAGGGCGAATAGTTGAGAAAAGGGAGTAATTGCTGGGCGTCATTAATAGAATGAATATCGAATAGGCTTTCTCCACTTCGCACCCATCTCAAATTTCATGTTTTCAAAGGCCTTCAATTTCTAAAGTAATTATGGGAAATATGATGATGTAATGAGGAGAAAGAAAGGGACTTCCATCTTTTCTGACCTATTTTTCATTCACTAAAGCTAATGCCTCTCCCTTCAAACACTCAAATTCTTACTGAGCATAATAAATTCGAGTAATAGTTTGATGAAAATCATTGGTTGACAGGTATTTTTTGAGCTTACAGAATTACGAAAGAGTAAAAGTTGAGTGTGGAGAGAAATTTTAGTTGAGTGAAGAGTTTTATTAAATGTTTAAAACCTTCAATGTGTTGTGTTCGATAGGAAAATAAATGTCATATGAAGAAAAAATTTTGATTGCCAGAAGAAAATGTAATAAATTTATGGATGGCAAAAAATTCTGTTAAAATTTGGAAACAAAACCAGAAATTTTTTGAAAATACATCAAAATGCAAATGGAGCAGGACTGTGAATTTCTAAGAAAGCAGTTTCTGGTTGACAACGAGAAAAATAAACATTGTTCACATATGGCTAAAAACAAGTGAAATAACTGAGATTGGGCGATTAGCTGTACAAAGGTGGTTACTATTAAAGTAATTGTTAGTTCTTGTCAGATAAGTTAAGATTAAAAATTGAAAAATGGATTTGAAGGTAACATTATAGATACTTGATCTCTCCGCGAATCAGCTCGGTCAACTGGAACCACTTTCATTTTCGGAGCTAAGTCATCTTCAGGAGTTAATTGTATCAGATAATTTGCTCACAACATTACTACCAGATACTTTTACTGGTTTAAAAAATTTGCAACGGCTAGATTTATCCAACAATCGGTTACATACAATCGCTCAACATCTGTTCGACGATGTGCCAACTTTGCATTCGCTTGACCTCAGCCATAATAACCTTTCAGCGGTAAGTTATTGATCGTTACTTTTTGACTGTTCAGAGATACAACGTGAGTTTGGAAGTGTCCGCTCTCTTGAAATCACCAAAAAGATTATACCTTTTCGTTGCAGACAGAAGCAGACACATTCGCTGGCTTGACCTCTCTAAAACGTCTTGATCTTAGTTCAAATTCACTCGTTGACCTATCATTCAATGGCCTCAACAATTTACAATATCTCAACATCAGTTATAATCTGGTACACTTCAAAGAGGCTTCAATAACTTACTTCTTATCCATCCTATCCCTTCGTGCAGCAGTAAAATGAAGCTAAGCTAATCATTGATAATTTCTTCCAAGTTATCACAAATATGACGTCCAAATTCATTACGAATTAATGCAGAATAATATTTGTGCACCCTCGCATCTGTTGTAATTCATTTTAGATGCAACGGATCATAACATCAAATTACCGTTCATTAAATTTATTACGCGAACTCGATCTCTCCTCCAATCAAATGATGGAATTAGCGACGTCATCATTCGATGGTCTAAACTCACTTGAAGTTCTTAGGATGACCAACGAACCGTACTTACACTCCATAAAGGTTAGCATATTATTTTAATTCTCCCCTGAGAGATTACTGTTTGCTCAGTTAGATGCTTAGGCAATTTAACGGAGGTTAAATGGCTGAAACTATCAGACTCCTTTAGGCAACAAAAAAGAGCTTGCGAGAGTACTATTCGAGAGTGTTATTACTTCATCTCAATCAATATTATTGACATTTTCTTCGATTCCAGAAGAGATTGTGACGGATTTTAGAAAATCTGGATTTTACACTTCAAATATCAATAAATTACATAATGTTTTAATTCAGCTGAACGCGTTTTCTGGTTTGAAAAGTTTACGCAAACTTAATTTATCCTCATGCCATGTTCTGGAAAAGATAGATGAAGATGCATTTGAATATGGCGATCGGTTGGAGGTGTTGGATCTGAGCAATTGTCGACTGGAAAGGTTGCCACAGAAAGTTGCTGAATGGACTAAGTGCGTTGGATACTTCGTTGTGCACTATTTTCTCCAAGATCAGACATCGTTTTTGTTTGCCTTTTTTTCAGTTTCCTGTTTAACTTCAGTATATCTCAGTAGGCAGCAATTTCAGTTTGAAATCGTTACACATATCCGGCAATCCGCTACACTGTGATTGCGAAATGTTGTCGTTCCTTCCGGAAGTGCTCCGAAAGTTCTCTATCAATGCCACCTGCTTCACGCCACCTTGGTTATTCGACAAAAATATTATGCAGTTGGTATGCTGCTACCATCTTCGCTCGAAGTACTCTTCTGTCCACCGGGTGACCATTCCTCCATTTGTTGGTTCTGTTTTCAGTGGGCAAACTTTATGTGCTTTTTGAAGTCTTCTGGGCACAATGGCAACAGAAAGAGGTTTCTGCAGCAGAAAGATATTTTTTTTGTAACAATGTTGATTTGCATCCGAGATTCTTAAAATTTCGTCCCATTCAAAAGTCGAAAATCATCCTTCGGATGGAAAATCGAAAGAAAGGGTTCATAGACGATAGAAGCATCTTTTCAACTGTCCATTTCCAATACAATTTACAACATTTAATTTAATTGCAGTCTGAAAGTTGCACGACGTTGAACGAATCGCAATTAAGTTTCGCTATTCTCGGCGCATCACTTCTAATTTTAATTATTCTACTGCTTCTCGGTGTTTGTATCCGCCGACATCTTCCTCTATCCAACAAGTTTTCTTCCGCCCAATGCAGCGCTCAGAACAAATGCCGCTCACATCTATACAGTAAACCTTTCCTTATCGCTTCACCAACCAATGACAAATCTGACTTGCTATCCGAACAGACTTGTTATACGACAACAAACCGCAGTACTTCAAACGGTATGCCATATGATGTTGCGTGATTGCACAGGAACGTTTCGGTAACAGTAGAACATGAGGTGGTAGGTAAAATTAACGCAAAGGTGCTCTTATAGATGTGCTACGGCGTCCCTTGAACCAGCAAAAGGTCTTATTTCATGTTTCAAGATCGCATCCTATCTGTTTCCGACTCCTCTTTTTCACTTTCAGGTTTTTCTCGTTCTGACGGTCTCTATGATGACGAAGGTTATTACAGCAGTGTAATGTTTCCTGCAGAATACAATGCGTACGAACGCGCACGTCCGGTTTATCCGATACCTCCACCTGCAGCTACAATACCTCAAACATTGCCAAAAAGCTATGGAGATGATAATTTTAGGATTATTTCTGAATATCCCGTACCTATTACAGAATTATGACCATAGCTTACTATAGTGACAGCCGGATAACTGAGCCACTATTCGAGATTTTCAGGACAAATACTTTCTACCGTGCTTGATGCAGATCTTCCTGACTCGACAATTGATTACAACTGATCGAGAGTTCACCCAGGTGTGACCGGGACAATGAAGCAGAGAAAATACCGGAAGTGTCCTGGCAAATGCTTGCACATATGAATTACTTTTCTAATGAGCCAATTTAAAAGATGCATTTGTCGACATATTGCCATTCGGGAGTGCACCGGGAAAAGGATAAACGGGTTTTAAGTAGTGCTAAATAAGCGTTCGTTTGTAGAAATGCCTTCCGCTCGACTGGATGAATATGTTAGTCTTTTATGACAGCAATAATTAAATTTGGACGAGAAAAAGGATTCGAAATTTCCGAGTGTCTTTGAAGCAGTTCCAATGCTTTAACCTTCGCATTTGCTTACTGTTACATTGCTAAGTATATTTGTTATACGTGTACAGAAATTGTTTCTTTCATGTAATTCAAGTCACTAATTTCGAAATAAAACATTGCGAAAACAGAATAATATTACGTAAGTTTTGATCCGAAGGCAAGAAATCATCACATTGACATTGCTTCTCACAACAGCATAAAAATGTATCTCATTCCCCTTTCAAATTCCCAGAAGATCTCGGCAACTTTGGAGAAATTATTTCTAAGAAATTCCAAAAGATTTTGGAAAACTTATATGGTTTTTGAAAAATCCGGAAATTTTAAACAAATTATCAGGAGTATGATGGATTGTAGGATCTTATGCATCCTGGAGATTCTAAAAACGTGAGTGATTCTGGAAGTTTTTTGGAAAATTTTAGAGACAACTTTGTGAAAGAAGTGAGAATGAACGATTACGAAGAGATCCAACGTTGGTAAACTGTCACGGAAGAATATTCCATAGTAATGGCTTTTATTCATCAATAAGTTCATCAATTCTTCTCGAATTTTATTGAATTTCAAAAAGCTTTCCATGCCATTGCTCTTCCAAACATCTTCGCCGCATACAAACACTGAACTTATATTATTACCTATTCTTCTTCTATTTCTTTAAAATTTCTTTTTTAAAAAAAATAACGAACAAACTGTTTTCTATTGCAATTGTCCATCTTTGACAATAGCAAAAGAGAGCCATTAGAGAGTAATTGCATTGGTATTACTGTTCATTACAATAATATAGCAGATATAATTGAACACAGAATAGTCTAAATCTAGGCACAATATGATTGTCTAGCCTGAATATAGTCATCTAAGCCGGGCTAATATGATCATCTAATCTGGGTACGATCACACGAGCATAAAGAGAGAGCACTTTCTCAATTACCACGTTTAACGTTGTATTTCATATCATTTTTGAATTTATTCCCGATTTTAAGCGTGTGAGGAATGTGTGAAGTAGCGAGCGATGCGACTTCCATTTTTAAGCAGTGAAATTGAAAAAAGATTCTTCTATATCAATTCCGATTACATCTACAATCATCAAAGAGCCGAGAACAATGGAATGACCGGGCGGTTTTGTCCTGCTAAGCGTTTGCTCGCCTTACCTCACTGTATCTGAAGGTTGTACTTGTTGCATAAATGTCCTTACAGAATCGTTCAATCAACAAACACATCTAAATAGGTCTGTTCTTTTGTATCCTTTGTACTTCACTGCAGATTCGACCACTGAGATATTAATTTATTAATAAAAAAAATATTATAAGTAAAATGATTGACTTACTTGTGAAGCAAATAAAAAGCTATATGCTATATGCATCCTTAACTATATGTATTTCAGAAAATCTGAGTTTAAAACTTTACGCACAAAATCTTTTGATTAAGAATTTTGGAAGGATCGAAATATCAGATATTTGCCGTGAGTTGCAAATTCTCATCTTTCACTGCTTGCTTTTCCTGGCTCTCGTTGTTCCTTCATCGATCATTAGCCATTTGACCCCTTTAATAATCTAAGATCATGGTGACCCAAAACCACTGACTGATGACTGCCTTGAAGATAATTTTTTTAATTTCCGGAAAATCAGGCGAGTTATTATTGCCGACCATTTATAAAGCATTTTCTTCGGAGACATACAGCAGATGCCGCAGTTCTGTAATCAAATGGACACAACTCGCAAATCAAAGGTCCATTTCTCGAATGTTCAGCTAATTAAACTTCATAGAAAAGAGGAGCAAATTTTCAACACTGCTGTTCTAAGCAACACACGAAGAGGACAGCGAATCTCATCGCTAAAAACTCTTCATAAAACGAAAACTTGAGCTTAACGCCTAGTGAATCATCTTGGATTGAAGTGATAACAAATAGAAAAGTAGCCTCGAGGCACAAAAATATCTCCCTTTCAAGCACGAAACGGCATTTTGTAGAGAACAAACGCAATAAGAGAAATGTCATCTGCTATACTCATTACTCTTTTTTGAAGCCGTTCCACTCGGAAAATTATCATTTGTATTGTGTCAGTTGAACGGCGATAACTCGCACAACTTAACCATTTCCATCTTCTTCTTCTTCAAATTTCCTGAGCTGTAATATCAGATGCAAATGAACTCTTCCATTCTTCTTTTGGCCCATTACTTCACTTCATTTTGACCTCAGTCTTTCTCCATCCATGTATCATTAGGTCGGCTAACAATGGCTATAAAGATGTATTTGTCACCTCTTTTAATGAGAAAAAAGCACGGGAAATTTCAGGTAGACTGATCGAATGAAAGATTATATTGTTCTTAGGCAGTCCCATAAACCTCTGAGAATACCGTGGAATAGTCGGGAGTGTTTTTGATGGATATAGAAGAGCGGCAATTGAAGATTGCTTAGAAAAGCTTTCAAAATTTTGGGTGGAAATAATCAAAAAGCCTACGATTATAAAAGGGTGGCATGAAAGATCATGAATTTATTTTAACTTGACTGAATGGGACACTTTAAAAGCACTTTACTCGTCCCTCCTGCGGTGTCAAATTACATCTCTCTGCCTAAGCTTTCTTCTATTAGTTTCTTACCGGAAGCTTTTCCAAAAGAACAAATCTATAGCTACTGCTTCTTTATTTGAACAAATCTTTCTGAAATTGCCAACCATACATTCCAATCTTACCCTTTTCATCTCTTATTTATTTATTTTTTGAAAAATATGGATGACATTGTTTTATTTGTCCACCTGTATGGCAAATATGGTCAGACAGGTAAATGTCGTTTTGCAAAAAACTCGGCATTAAAGACCAAAGTATTGTTTTGGATGTCAGATAATTGGTCCAGTTCTGTACAGTGTGGTCTTATTTCACGCGAACTGACACTAATTATGAATGATGTCTTCGGGAAGTCGCAGAATCGTTCTAATACTTCCAACTGATAAGGATTTACTGAAAATTTAGATACGCTCCCTTTCAATCCTAATAAGCAATCTCAAGCAATTTTTACAAAAGGAAATCGGCACATTCTCAATATGCACTTATAGAATTTAATTTGAATTTTGCTCTTAAAAGCACCGGTTACACAAACTTTCTGCATCGTATGATCTGAGGGAGCATAATCTCATAAAGGTAAATTAAATATAACCGAGCAAAATGCACACATCTATAAAAGTGGCATTCATTCGAAATGCAGTGGATTAAAACGATTCTGTCCCAAAAACAACTTGACATTTCTTCCTTTCCTTACGAATATGAATCGTCAATGAACTATTAAAATGAAATTTTGTTCAATCACCATGGATGCTAATTTATAGCATAATTACATCTCTCTCTCTCTCTCTCCATTTTCTCTATCTTTCCATGCATTATTAGCATATCATTAAATTTAATTTTATTTCGTCCACTTCTCTTTTCCATACCACTTTGTTCATATTACATTATATAATTAACATTTTCTTAACTTTCAAACAGTTTAAAAGAAATTGATCCCGCAGATACTAATGCACACCTGCACGCTGGTCGCATGCTTGCACTTGTTGCATTGCAAAATGCATTCCTCTGCATTTTAACATGCGACAAAAGTATTTCAGCAAAAGATTTATGCAAATTACACTAATGTGAATAAAACGTTTATTCATATAAGAAACTCTGAGGCCTTGGTCTCAGGCCTAGGAATAGCAAAAGAGAAGAAGGATGCTACATATTAATCTTCTCTGAAAGAGTCTCTTAATGAAAAAGCTTCATAAATTTTATTTCATTAGTAATAAATTCTGAATTTTTTGGCCTGATATGGACAATGATGATATAATTAATTGTTTTTATGTGCAGTTTGTGTCTTATTAGCCTCACCGAGGCTTTTAGTCAGTCATTCATTTGAAAAAGAAATTTATTACAATGAAAGACAACTAATTTTCTCAAAATTTTCTAAAAATTTGACCACTAAATTATTTTTCCTTTCAGTCACAGTAATCATTCCCGAAGATGGATATAAGACCGTGCTTCAGTGATTTAAAAGATGGATGAATAATACGAGAATTCTCGGTCTAATCATAGAATTATGTAAATTCATGATTTCCCATTTGACATCATAAATGTTGCGTCTGTCAGCGCATTTATCACAACTTTCATATTTTTCATATATATATTTACCGGAAACTTTCATATATATTTACCGGAAAAGTGCGAGTCAAATGGATCAGAAAAGGTTGAACGGAAGCTTTGTTCCTTTCATACCAAATCAATTATTACCGTATTACACACTGGGAGGCTTTTTTGCATAAATCTTGAGATAAGGCTACAATAAGATATATCTGTTCCTGCTTCATTCTTATAAGACCTATAATTTTCAAACGACGAACTTTAACCTTTGATTATTAGCTAACCATCACAGGATTAAAAATAAAGAAAGAAAAGACAAAGCGATTAGTTGAATAGCTTAAAAGGCCGGTGAATTGCAAAAGGAAAGGGGAGAGTATAACTTTGTGGGACTGTTATGTATAGGATCGAGATGATGCTGGACAGGCATTACTCTAAGAAGGTAGAGCTATCGATTGAAACTTTAGGTCGCATGCCTTCATTTCATTTTTGCTGACATCAGCGCTCATTTCTTGCTTACCTTAGCATAAATTGTACTAAAACATCTAATTCCATTTAATTTGCATATTTAATGCACTCACTTTGTTGTTTTGCCATGTCCTACTTACTTACTTACAAACTAGTTTTTCTTCCTCTGAAAAATTTCGCTCTTAGCGACTTCGCCAATCACTCTTATCGTTGACGTCTTTCCTTTTCCACATTATTTTAGCTTTCCATAAAGGCAGCAATAGCAGGCAGTTTCCATTAATAATTCATCGTAATCGTTTGTGACATTCCGCCTTTTCCATCACTTCAATTCAACAGTAGCGATGGCGGTGACATCAGCCATGTAAACGACTTGCTAAGATCCTCTCTCATTCTTCCTCTCCCGAGAACAGAGCTCTTTCCCTGATTAAGCCTTCTCCCATTCCTCAAAAAAGCTCATTTTCATTACGAGTTGACCTTTGTCCCAATAATAAGGATGAACCATCCGATTCATCTCCCGAAAACAGGATTGGCTCGAATTTTCTCTGTCCACTTCACACCAAATACTACTAATACCTACAAGTTATTCTGCAACTGAGCTCAAACAATATTCACATCTGCTCAACTTTCTTAGCTCGAAAGGTGTCGTGTATGATATCAGTTAATTTTTCATCTGCTATATAAGTTAACCATTTTTAAAGTTAAGTATTACTGGCCCCTCAATTTTAAAACGACCACGTTAGCAACGAATATTCAAATAAAGATCACTTTCAAATCATTACGAAAATGGCAGTGATTATTTTAACATTCTCATAAGAATTCTTCACATTTCATTGTTCCCCTTCAACCATTCTAAAACTTCTCGAAATCCCTTCAGCTCTAACCCAAATACAGTAACAAACTTATTTCACTCTTTCCTATTTCCTTTATTTATCATTTCCATAACGTCCGTATTTCGGATTCTGTAAGTGAGTGTGTGCTTCTGTCGTCTGTCCCCTTCTATTGCAATTCTTTTCTCGTCAGTAATTTTGTGAAATCAACTTTGATAGACAAAAGTCGCTCACATTTGCAATCAATATTTCATTATATTTCAATCACGCTGATCGCTAACCGACTGGGTCATCCATCAATTGGACAATCTTCGCTCCAATCTTCAAAATTTCAATACAAAAAATAATTTGACTATTCTGTTTTAATTTTATAACGAAAAATATTTTATATTTTTTACTAAAAAATCTGACACGACCATAAAATAAATAAATGTACACGAAGTAAAAAGACAGAAATATAAAAATGGATTCTTCCATTAACATTAACTGAACATTTTTAAAATCCGCTGATTATTTTTTCTGACTTTCCAATTTAGAAATCCTTTTTTTAATGAACTAGCAGAATTGTGCAGTAGTTTTCAGCACTTCACTTTTCCAAGTTGCCAACTTGGAAATACATATTGGGAAAATCTTGAACGGATAAAGCAATCAGCTTGGAACCTTTCCAAAACTTATCACTTTCACAATATGTATTTCTTCGTTCCACGTTTCCTTCAAACTACATCCGAGGACACTTTCTGAATAGCTCACTTCTTTATCCATATTAGCCCTAAAATGACATGCTTCGAAGGCTTCAGTCTAAAATTTTAAGCACGCTATTTCAGGGAATTTTATACTGTTTCGGAAAAGTCACTCAACCTTCGGTAGTCCTGGATTTCAAACCAAACTCCCTAAAAATCTACACTTCTCTTTGCATCTCGTTTCTGTACAATTAATCAAAAGTTCACACAATTTCTTAGCAATTTGGAGACACTGCTTGTAGCAGTTGAATTTCAATTCTAAATTCTTTTAAAAAGAAAGATTTTTTCCCTTCGATCAAATTGACAGTATGGAAGAGAATTTAGTAGAAAAATATGCAATACATGAGCAATTATTGCAGATGATTATTAAAATCGTGTGTATTTAAAAAGATCCAAACTTTCCGATCTACTACTGTACCTGTGGAACTCATGGCAATTTCTTAGGTGAAAAGGTTTGAACTTGCAAAGCTTTGAGCAGAATATTGATGAACATAGAGATTAACTGAGGAAAAAGTAACTTATTTAGTAGGAAAGTGTTAGAATAACATTTTGGTTATTGATAGCTAATAGCTTGAAATGAATTTCAATGGAAAAACTGTGAGGTTTTCATGCTCGAACAGTTGCTAATCATAATTTTTTCAGACAAATCTAAATATCTCATTGCTGAATTTGTTTGCTCAATTATCATAATACCTTACTTTATTTCTACTGTCATTCACAATGCTTAACTTCCTATTTTGTGCTTTATCGACTATTTCTGCCCATGGATTAATTACAGCAGTACATATCGAGATTGAGGAAAATTTTTAATTTATTAAAAAATGAAGAAGAGATTTTCGCTTGAGCAGAATGTCAATGTAAATGCTTCATTCGACATGAGTGCTCAGTGATGCGTTCATAGGAAGCAGATTTGATGTGATATGAGGAGTTAAAGTAGTGCTAAGGAAAGAGGCTATTCCTGTCCTGGAATAATTATAATAGTAAAGGACAGCTTCACTAGAGCTTTTTACTCACTTCTTTACTTCAAATCTGCAAAGGCCACAAGTAAAGTGATAAGCTGCGCTGCTCGAATGTTCCCTCTTTTGTTACTGATTGGTTATCACTCCAGCAAATTATCACTCCAATGTCTTTATAAATCTTATCCAATCCTCCTTCATTTCCTTTGCATGAACAACAACTTTCACTCACTAAAAGAAGGCTCGTTAGCAAAATTAGCATTTCCCAAATATTCTGCTCCTATCCCTTCCCTTCCAGAAAGAGAAAGTAATTCGGGTGGAAGTCTCTGATGAGGAATGCTATGGGACAAAGAATGGCAGGGAATAAAGAGCAATTAAGCACTGATAACATTGATAAGGCACATCCCACTTCTAACGACTTTCATCGGAAATTTGAAAAGTGTTGTGTAACAATTCATTGACCAACCAATTCCAAAAACGACTCAGTTTTGGTGAAAAATTAAATTCATTTCTCTTCCTTTGCAAGCTGAGTTATAAAAGCAAGCAGTATTTTCCAATTTTGGGCATAGTTTGATAGAATGCAGTACTTTTGAAATGTGACCATTTGAAATAGTGCAAACTTTGAATTTTGACTTTAGTGCATTCTACTACTCGGTCTTCTCTCACAAATTTTCTCACCTTGTTTGTGTGTGTCTGAAGACAATTCTCAATTATTCGTCAAAGAATGATCAAAAATAGATGCGTTTGTTGGGATTCAATAATGTGAAATTTGATTGTGCAGACTACTGTAACTGAAAAGTTGAAGTAACATCAGGAAAATTGACCATCGAATGACCAGCTAAGTGCCCATAATAGCTGTTGGACTTTAATCTGGCAGTTTTGATTCTCAACTTACTTTTCCCATCACTATCAATCCATTGCAGAAATGTTGAGGGGAACACATCCAAATGAATCGCTAAATGTTAGCTTAGGCTTCATTATCAATACACTGTCACAGTCCGACGACTGTTACGTGAAAAATGAAGGCCAGGAGACATATATAGTGAAAAAACTAAAATTCACAATTTTTGAAGCTATTGATTGCGCAATAATAATAACTTTCTACCTGTCAATATCTTGGGAGATTAATATTACTTTCTTTCAGATTTCCGAACGATAAAAGAATCATGAATCGAGGAGAGTTTCAAAATGGAGATCAAATGGGATACGAATTAGACGAAGCTTCGGCAAGCAAACAGTCCAATGTTGCGATAGTTGCCGCTTCCAACAAATTACTTAAAATAAGCATTTATATTTATTTGAAATGAAAATAATTTCGATTCCATTTTATCTGGAAAGGCATGCTTTTACATTCTTTAATTCAATTAATGAGCGATCGTTTTAGAAGAAAATTGAGCCATTGCTTTTCCATCTTTTTGTATGCGTGAAGTTTGCAAGTCAGATTTGAAGATATCAAGAACGGTTAGAATGGAAAATTAAACCGTTTTTGATTTAAAGGATTAACGGGCAAAATTTCATCGCAGATATCTTAAATGGCTTTTAGCAGATTATTAAACGAAAAAATTAAAATTTCTAGTGTCCGACACCAACCGCTACAGTGAAATTATGAGTAAGCCAATAGGGAGTTTACTTAGCCAAATGATGGGTGAATGAGAGTAAAAATAAAAATGATGCATCTTTTAAGATCAATAAGCGCTCTATGTTTTATGGTTATGCGCTTCTGTCCGCAATACATCATTCCTTTCAGGCTGCCGATCAGTGTTCGTGCTGCAACTGTGCGAAACGTTGGCAGCTTGCTATTCTGGCTAATTTCGGGTTTTTGATTGTTTTTGGTATACGATGTAACTTTGGGGCGGCAAAAAATTATATGGCTCGCGACTACACAGACCCGTGGGGGAAATATCACGTTAGCATTGACGTTTTCTTCCTTTGGTAGACAGATGCACAATCTCAAGTTCAGTTTACAAAGCAGAAAAATTTACCGAACTTTTGAAATTTTTTAATCAGAAAGAGAATTTGAAGTGAGGTTAAAAGCTATCGAACACACTGCCAGCATTGATGCTCCGTTGTCGGTTTGCTACACTTTGCCAGTGCCGAATGCGGTACGTGTGCATCCTTTCCTCCATCAGTTTCTCGATGTGGACCCGACTTGCTTCCCTTCCATCACTGCGTTACTCCAGTATATCCTGTATTCCAATCAACAGATCGTCAATGAACCTGTGTGAGCTGAGGAGATTTTCTTCACGTTCCAAAAGTTTGTTGTTCCACTGACATCGCATTCATCCAATCAACTCCGCTCTGAAAGAGCGGCTTCGTACAGTTTCTCGTTCGTGGATAGGACTGTCAGATGAGAAGAGAGGAATGGTAGCACAGTCACTCTCTTTCCACTGACAGCCTTAAGGTATCACGAAAAAACCTTTACGATGGTCGATGAGAAAGAAATGAATGAGTGGATGACTGATTCAAAAAAATTATTCAAGCTGAAATGATGTGTTGAAGACAAAGTGTTGAAGAATGGAAATTATGGCTGCTTTTCTCTCCAATTATTCCCAAAGTTATTCTCGCAAATGTCTACTAAAACAGTTAATAAACACTTTGGAGAGAGGGATTTCCAGGTTTTCACTTCACGATCTGTTCATCTTTCTTCGTTGGCCTTTCTCGTCTCTTATGAATGTTTGCTCAGCAATTCAATTTTCCAACATGTCATTCTTTTAACTTTTTGCGATATTTCTGCGGTCTTTTTCTACTTTTTTAAACTTCTCTTCTTAACAGTAAACTGACTTACATTTTGTTTGCTAAGCCATCAGAAAATATCAATTATAATTCATCTTTCGGTATTCTTAGCTTACCTCAAACTTCCACACGTATCACTAACGTGCAAAATACACACCAAAATATTTTTAAGAAATTTTCAATGAAATCGCTGAATGATCGAGAGCAAACTTGTCTACACTTCGCGATGGATTTTCGTTAGACTCATTCAATTCTACAACCAACGTTCAGTCAGTATTTCCCTCAGACGTGATATTTTATTTCTCTCACTAATAAATAACACGTTCATCCGTATTTCTTTTCAATTGAGGGGAATCAAAAATGTGAAGTTGTCAGACTAGAACTGAAAACAGACGATCTAAGAAGAAGGCTCAGGTCATCAGAGTTCATTTTTATGCAGCTGTCATAGCTGTCTGAAATGCCAGTCTCTCATCAGAAAGCCACAACGCTTCCTGTATTTTGTCGGGTTACTTCTTTATGTTTTAAAATATATTCATTTTGGTAATTCATTTCTGTGGAAATGAATTTGGCACCGACTGTGTTCGCCTTGATGATATGCGACGATATGACTGATAACATATGTGTGGATGGGATTTTATGGAGGATTTCTGTCAGATTAAAGGAAACAGCTACACTAAACAGGAACCATTCTTTTCATTTCTTTCAACATTGAAATTTCTGTGTTGTAAATTATGAAAATTTTTAGAGACGTGAATTTAATTGGACATTAACAGAACTGGGTGTTATGGAAAGTTCATTTTTCTATGGCTATTTGTTGACACAAGTACCGGCTGGCTTCTTGGCTGCTAAATTTGCCCCTAATAAGTAATATGTCTAAAAGTTTAACTTAATTTGAACTTTTGCTGCTTACTATTCTTTTTTCAATATTTGGAAGCGAAAGCAGCAATTCCATCCTTTGAAAACGGTTACTTTTTGCAGATTATTCGGTCTTGCCATAGGTTTAGCATCATTCTTCAACATTTTGCTTCCCTTTGCATTCCGTACGAACAGCGACACTTTCATTGCAACAATTCAAATACTACAAGGACTTGTACAAGTATGCTTTTCACCTTATTTAAATTGTTGCTCCCAACAATTAGTACATGAATATGTATTTGAGTCAACCAGTTAAACAATTTTTAATTTCCTACAAGTCTCGGCGTTGATGTACTGCTGAACGGACCTTCGGAGAATGGAGATTCTTGAATGTTGACCAGTGGTTGCAAGGAATTAATTTTAGGGCGTGTCATACCCTGCGATGCATGGCGTGTGGCGTTATTGGGCTCCTCCATTGGAACGATCCAAATTGGCAACAACCGCATTTACAGGTTCCTATGCTGGAGCAGTAATCGGTTTACCGGTTTCCGCTTGGCTTGTCAGTTACATACATTGGTCTGCGCCATTTTATGTATACGGTGCGTTTTAAGTAATTTAACGAAATGATTAAAATGAAACATATCAATTTCTTCTTATCTTCCTCACTTCTTCCATTTCCAATCATTCATGCGAATTAATTTAAAAGAAAGAATGAAAGAGACCACACTTCGGAAATGTTTTTTTATAGGTCTTGCTGGCGTGATATGGGCAGTATTTTGGTTTGCACTAACATTTGAAAGTCCAACGTTTCATCCATCGATCTCGACGGAAGAAAAGAAATATATCCTGGAAACAATTGGACCAGTGTCCACAAGTCATCCAACCGTAGGCCTTCATGTCTGATGTTTAAATTGAAACAAAAAAAAATTTGGGCTTTAATATCTCTCTCTAATTTAGCTTGCCTCAATACCTTGGAAGGCAATACTGCAATCAAAGCCAGTCTATGCAATAATTGTGGCAAATTTCGCAAGAAGTTGGACATTTTATCTCCTCCTTCAAAATCAACTTACCTATATGAGAGAAGTGCTCAATATGGCAATTAATGATGTAAGAGCTTATAAAATTTTATTTGTCTAAGTCCCAATCTTTCTTTAATGGTAATATTTAGAAATAAGTTGACTGTTGTTCTCAATAGATTGAAGCATTGTTATAGGAGAGATCACCCGTAAGTGCTTAGAACTTTGAAACTCTGGTTAATTTTATCGTATTTAATTGTACCAGATTTAATTTTCTAATTCTGATTGTTAAGAGCGGTTTGATAGCCGCTTTACCCCATGCAGTGATGGGTTTGGCAGTACTTGGTGGTGGTCAATTAGCTGATTATTTGCGTTCTCGTCAAATTCTCAGTACAACAGCAGTGCGGAAACTTTTCAACTGTGGCGGTAAGTGCCGCTAACATGAGCTCTCATTGCTCAAAGGGATGAATGCACACATTTCTAATTCATCTTTCCAATGCTGACTCATTCACCAACGTGACATCTTCAAAAAGGTGTCAGTTTATTACAGGCTTTGGTGGCGAGGCAATATTCATGCTCGTTGTTGCGTATACTAAAAGTGACACAACTGCGGTTTTTGCCCTAATACTTGCGGTTGGCAGTAGCGGTTTTGCAATCTCAGGTTTCATTAAATTAAAATTAATTATTTCAATTTAAACATTTAACGAATGTTATCTGTTCTGTATTCCTGTGGCATCCTCACCAGTGCAATCAAACTGAGAAGAATTTTAGGTTTCAATGTGAATCACTTGGACATAGCGCCACGTTATGCAGCAATATTGATGGGCTTCTCGAATGGTATCGGTACCCTGGCTGGTCTTACATGCCCCTTTGTGACGGAAAAGTTGATCTCACGTGGACCACGAGGATGGGAAAAGGTGTTTCTGCTCGCAAGCCTTATACACTTCACCGGTGTCACCTTCTATGCCATTTATGCATCCGGTGAATTGCAAGACTGGGCTGAACCAAAAGATGAGGAGGAACCTTGGTTCAGGAATAATGTCTTTAAAAGCAGTGAGTTCCTTTCCTATTCATTAACGGATGAATGTTAAATCAAACTTTAATATGCCATGAACTGTTTGTTCCTCACTACTTATGGTTTTAGGTATGGTTGCTGGTGGTGACTATGGTGCAGTGAACTCAGAGAGTAATCCAGTCCCGGACTTTGATAAAATCTGGAATGGTAGCATTATGTCCACTTCTTGCACTTAGTAGCACTGAGCTACTCCCGCTGATTGTTTCCATTTTTGCAGATTCAGCTTCGACAAATCCAAAGCCGAGTGAAATGAGAAGCAGATACGAAGCAACAACAGGTGATTTAAGTTACAGTGATTCGGAACGACACAGTGTGAGGAACAACTATGAAGTATGGTGACCGAGGAAACAGATTCTTCATTTTACTGAATAACACGACACCTACTTCCGAGAAAACGGTGTCAAAAACTATCAGCCTCACGGCCTAGAAATAGACCTGATGAGTTCACGTATTAATTAAATTTCTTCTGAGACTGCAGTTATTCTTGTGAGATAAATTAACCTGTGCCCACTTTGTGACACCGTTCACTATTCTCCTGCCTTAACTCCATATGCTAATAGCAAGCATAGACGATCCGAATTGTGCTAAGAAAAAAGTTGATCAAAGTTTATCTTCAGAATACAGTGCAATAGATAATAGCAAAACATGAAAAGCAGAAAGAAAAGAATAAGCTGATTTAATATACATACTCAAAATCGAACTCTGCCTGACTCTCATAGAGGGAGCTATTATCAAATCGTTCCGGTCACATGTGACTCAATCCAGTTTCCATTCACACCCTCGTACCACATAAGTACTTAGCTTTCAATGGAAGATCCTTAACCTTCCTTAGCATGAAAAAGTCTATCAAAAGTGAATGTCGTATCCGCAACTATCATCTGATGCTTTTTATGAATGTAATAAATTACATCATACACAAATTATGCTAATATTGACAATAATTAAATTAACTAAAACTCACATTTAAAGGAAAGAGAAGAGAAAACAAAGAAGAGAGAATATCATAGTGCTTATAATTTTTGCTCCATTAATTTATAAAGATAATATGTAATGACAAAAAAGTTTCAAACTAAAAAGGAGTAAAAAAAGGAATACATTTTGTTCTACAATCTGAGCAATTTGAATTTAAATTAAAAACAGAACGAATCTCAAAATTGGGTAACAAGTACAATTCCAATAATAAAATCGTAAACAGGAAATGCATTTCTTCGAAATATTACATTTAACCTAACATTAATTCGTTCCAAGCCATATTGTCTAATCCAGAGCATATTTTTTCATTATGTTTGCAACTACTGATCATTGATTCTCTCACCTCAGCCACTGCTCACTTATGTGATGTAATGCAGCCTACTATGTCCTAAGGTCGTTTTATCCTAAAATGTTACTTATCCTTACTATATCTTAAAATGAAAGAAGACAATATGGATACACACCGGCGCAACAGATGAGATGAGCAATTCCTGTTATAAAGTGAAAGAGAAAACCAAGCACATTCTATTTAGTATTCAAGAATAAAGAAAACAATACCAGCACTATGTGGAACTTAAATCAAGAAATAACTAAAACTGCACGGTATTTATGCACCATCATTTCCATCGATAGATATTTTAATGTTAAAATATACGTGTAAGAAAATCATAAAAATCTAATGCAATCAGGTTGTTTGCTTTGCCCTCTCTGCGCTCTTTTCCAGGTAGTACTGAAGGCTCGTATAAAATAAATATTTATATCTTGCTATTTTCAACTCCAGCTCATAGTTACGAAACAGAAAGCACAGCTTGATTATTAATCAATAAATTTACAGGCCTTCAGTATTGCATGACCAAAGTGAGATCTATTTGGGATTTTTTTCGCTCTAAAAAAGGCCACTGGGAAGTTAATCAATTTTTTCAGCTTACTGAGACTGTCACTCTATTTCTACACTACCAGCCATTCCGAAAATGCTTTAACAAATTAACTGATCCATAACTATTTATATAAATCTATTATGAGTTTTTTTGGTGAGTTAGTCGACCCTCAGATAGTACTGCAAGTTAGTTAGTAGAGCTTCTTCAATAAAATAGTTAATCCTAAGCTGATTTAATATCTTCCCCTTCTAAATTCGAAACGCACATATTTAGACAATTGAATCGAAAGGGAACAAATGACATACCATAATAAAATTAATACAGTGAAACAAGAAAATGCAAACGAATCTCTTCAAGAAAGCAATACAGTGACAATAACACGGCACGGAAAGGAGACTGATCTTGATACCGAAAATGTCGTTCATTTCGTCATTTCGATTCTCCTCCCCTCCCTTTATTCTCCGTTGTCATTTCTCCTTTTTTTTCTTCTTTCGATGTCTCATTTTGCTGTTGAGACCTCTCTTTTTGCCTTTTATATTCCCTATAGGTCACTGTTACTAAAAAAGAAAAGTATAAACAACTTGAAATTTAAATCAAAATTCCAAAACTATTCCTCTGCATCTAGAAAAAATATAAGAAGCTAAATAGCTCAAATATTTGCAAAAAAATAAAATTCATATTTGAATTCTCATTATCTAAACTTGGTAGTTCTCACAGCAAACTGTAGGAGACAAATATGAATGAACCAACCGGTTGCATCTTCCGTAAAATATCTCCACATATCATTAGCTGTTATTACTTCAGGTCGTTGCTTTATGTCGACTACAGTTGAAGGACTTGCCGTTATTGTATCACTTTCTGGAAGGATAACTTGCCGACCTCCATCCAAATTTAGCACTATCCCGGAACAACGAGGCTGAAAATTATCATGATTTCCATAAGACACCGCTGGTGGTTCAGTGATTTTACAGTTAAATTAGGACAACTTTCCACCACCGCATATACGAGAATACTTCCGTATATTTTAACTAATTCGACGAATTTAATCACACTTATAAATAAGCAAAAACTTATAAGCAAAATTGCGCTTATACCTTTAAAGATTTTGAATGTTCTTCAGTTTCCTTTGGTACAATATTAGAAGTCTTCGGTTCTAATTCTGAAAGGCAGACATGACGTTAGTTTTGAAATAAATCAATGAAATCATGCAAACTGTCTGTGTCATGAAATTGTTACCTTCAACAAAATCAACAATACCTTTCGACACAGTTACGGTTGGTTCGTTTGGATCAAAAAAGAAAGTATAATCTTTCACTGCTGAGTCGCTGCTTACCGTCCCCACACATACTGTTCGCTTCTGCTCACCGTGTTCTGGCTTTTTCGCACTTTCCAGATGATCTGAAAGACACGAAGCTTAAAAAACTACTGTCCCATCAAAACGGCCTTTAATGCATTCCATGAATAAAGACAGAGTTGTCTCAAATGTACTGCATTAAACATATTGTATGACTCACCAGAAATGGAAGCTCCACTAACGGAATGTTCTTCTTTGACTGATGCACGAGGATCCACCCATGCATGAGGTGTTATATTTAGGCGTGTTTCAGCGTTATCATATAATCGTTGCTTGGCAATATCTGCCCAAGATCGTTGAGCTGAAGAAAACCATAAAGGAAATATTTTTAATCAATTTTCAAAAAAAAAAATGAAAACTAAAACTGATCGTAAAACTAGTCTAATCGTTTCAATAGATCCATTAGAAAATATCACAAGAATTTTCAATAAATATGTTACTTCTTCCGTTTAAACTACAAACCTGGAGCTTTTGTATTAGCAACAGTAACAGTGTCAATTTGTTGCTCCGATATTTCGTGTTTCGTGTCCGGCAAATTTCCCGGAAGAGATGCAACAGCCGGTGAAGAGCCACTTTGCAACTAAAATTTTCCAAAGCTGATTATTGAAGAGAATGTGAGATTGTAAGAAATAAACCAGTAATGGAGTACTTTACTGAATTACTTTTTATAAATACATCATTCTTTGATATGCAGAGGGAAATGGGTCCAAATTCACCACAAAAAGTGCAAAAATATCCTCATTTTGAAAGATTTTTGAATAAAAGAAATATTTAACAACTTACTTTTGCAGCAGCAACAGAATATTTTAAAGTCAACGGTTGACTGCTACGACGATCAGGGGATGCTGTGCGACTTGTCTGAAGTGAAGATGGTAACCCATACTTTATCTTCTTGCTCGTCGATGTTGAGGTAGCAAATTTAAGATACTGCTGCTGTTGCCGTTGTTGCTGTGACTCAACACTGCCACTAGTACCAATAGTCTGACCTTTTCCATCACTACTCTAAAACGAAGATTTTATTCATTTTGAGAAAGTCTGACGATATAAATTCCCAATCAATTTAAAAGATAATACGGTAGGCTAATGCTAATGTCCAAGGAGAAGAGATATTCTCATCTGCAACAAATAGCGCAAAACTCAAAATGCTTCAAGCATTTCACCGGTCAGGCCATATAGGGTTAGTCAGTCAATCCTGACAAACCTTATTCTCTTGCGCTTTCATAAGAGTATTATCAATAACTTCTGAAATTAACATCCGAAATCGTAGTGGAGCCGAATATTTTTGAAAACTCTGAAAAGTTAAATAAAATTAGAGAACAGAATAAAGGTCACGACCGCAAAGCCCATAGAATTTCATTCTTCTGTGTACCATATTCCTTCTTTTGTTCCCGTTATCACTTCCAAAATACCGAATTCAGATCTGAGCGGCATAACGATACACTATATTAACCCAAATAAATGTCAGTCTTAAAGCAATGAATAAGTACCAACAAACCTCACAATCAACCGGTGATGGTGAAGTATTTCCACGAGAAGAGGGCTGATTTCTACGGTTGTCCGGTGGTAATTGTATTGAACTTCGTCGCAATCTATCTGCATCACGCCTCACATTTGTTCTAGCACCTCGATCCATCGTGCTGTAAATAATATGTGACATCTTTACTATGTCAATTTTTAATTGGAAATATCCCATTTGTTAAGTTCTTTTAGAAACATTTAAACTTCACAAGTCGTATACCACTTCCAGAAGGATCAAAATTTATTGAATTTTCCACTCCTTCTATATCAAATCTCGAGCTGTAGACATATCCCATACCGTTACTTACCTATTGAAATACACATTCTTCCTATCCACTCCCGGTACCATAGTTAGTTGATGATGAATAGAAGCACCTCTCCTTTTACTCCTGGCAGTGACCTGGATAAATTCGGATTCTTCGGCTGTCACTGGCAAAGGATTTATTTCTTCGTCATCAGCACGATAATTAGCGCCGTCACTTATAAAGTCTCGTGAACCGGAAGCACCAGATTGTTCATCTGTATGATACTGCAACTCAGTTTTCTAAAAAGACATTTAATTTGCATCGGAGTCCCAAGAAAACTACAACCTTTCTATTAAGGTCAGTGTAAACAATTTTAAATCTCGAAACTAACTGTTAAATTATACTTTTTCCAAAGTAGCAATTACCTTCCAATCATTATTCAGAATGATGTGTAGTTTTATGGAATGCCTATTTACAGTTGTTTACGTCATAATTAGCCTAAAAAACGTACTATGTCGTCGGAGAAGTTAAAATTAGCGCCTTCGTCGGCACTTATATACTGTTCTTCATCATCCAAACCTTCATCCACCATGCCCTTCACTGTGGTCGTAACACCACTTCCTGCATCTTCAACTTTATCGCTTTTGTGTGATGACGTTACAATTTCCACCTACAAAACATTAACTTAGAACATCAGAAATCATGAATAAGAATCTTCACAAACACATATTCCTCGGATTAAATTTTATATTGTTTACTGTGCATTAATACTTATCGGTAGGATAGATCGAGTTACTTTCGCCCTTAATTTTTGACATATAAATTATTTGCTGAATTCCATTTTTACTTTCCCTTTTAAAATTTTCGTCCCATTTTCAACAAATTTTTTTTACCTCATTTCATGAAACCTACTACCTCAAAAGGGATACAGTGTTAAGGTCCAACTAAACCTCCGATGTTCTTGAATCCATTATCGATGATCCATGCTTAGACTCAGCCGTAGTTTCCGTCACAACAACTGCCTTCGCTTTTTCAATATTCAATGCTTCCATTTTAGTTGAGAGCTCAACTACCTCTTTATCGATAATGACAGAACGTCTTGCAGCCTGTTAAAATGTTATACAGTAAAAAGTCCATAGCAAAGAACATAACCGAAGGAATAAATCCGAATTTACATCTAATCATAGTAATAATTTTACACTATCTTCTATGAAAGAAGAAAAAAGAACTCTTCACTACAAGAGGTAATCTTTTGAGTAATCTCTCCCCTTCTTCAAAATTAGCATCTATAGCGAGAATCACAGAGTAGGCAAGCAAGTACATGATAAAAAAGCAATCATATGCTTCCAAATAATAGAGTAAATTTAAACAGAAATAGCTATACAGAATTATTAAATTAATTCACATCAAATAAATGCAAATTTTTTCGACCTTATCTGTTTGGCGATCCTTTTTATCGGTCCTTTTACGAATGCCACTGCTTTTGGAACCGTTTGCTACAACAGATGAGTGATCCTGAAAGAAAAATTTTCTATAGTTCATCCAGGTATTATCAGACAAACAGCAGTAAATCTATCATATCATACTTAATGAAATTGCAACATCATCTGTTGCGGTAACGACAATTCAGAACAGCTGCGTACAGTTACTACTAACAGCAGCTACCAATGTATTGTAATTGCAGAACGGTAGAAAAGTAAGAATATCCATAAATCTTGCAAATATCGATGTGCCTTATCGCTAACATGAATAATATAATAATAGTAGTAATAATAGCAGTAACCGACACTAATAGTAGGTGGGTATCCGATCAATGATCTGCAGAAAAATAGCTGCATATTCCGAACAGGTAGTAGTAGTAGTACCGACAGTGTAATGGTACCTGGAGAAGATAATGGAAATGGAAGAAGCCGAAAAGATAGAGGAAATTCGGTGGAAATAAAGTGAGAGAAGAGGGAAAAGGAAAAGGAAAGGGAGGGAAGAGAGGTGGGCAGATTTGAATTGTACCCATTATATGTGGTACTTCACAACAATTACCTCATAGCAGTCCAGCGATTTATGGTCGCTTCTCGTCACAGACTCAGTGAACCACAAGTTGACCTCAACAGCACCCTACCCTTTGGCCTAGCAAGTATGAGCTGCAAAACAATTTCTTTGAACTGTCTTCAGCACGATTATTCAATTTTCAAAATTTCAGAAGACAGTTCAAAGATTTCAAACTGCAAAAAAAGACTGCACGATTTCAAAAATGTCAAAGATTTCATTTGAAAGAGAGTGAATACCTTGGATCCATTTGTTCCATTTTTTTGATTTCCCTTGACTTTCCCTTTGCTATCGCCTTCGATCCGCTTCAGTATCTCCTCAGGTGATAAATTACCCATATAACCTGAATCAATGGTGTATCACATGGAGAGGAAGAAAGCAGTGGGCCGAATTAGTGATTTAAATAGTTGGTTAAGATCAGGAAAGCAACATCTAGGACAGGGTTGTGAAACAACTCAATGAGCTACCCACTCCACTGCCGGACTTCAACGAACAGATTTTCCTACTCCACACTCATATGGGGTACACATGCTTTATAAAGTACTTTTTCAAGTCGCTTAAACAATTTTACAGCTGCACTGCGGCAAGAGAAATAGCTCCTAGAAATGGATGAGTGCATATTAATGCGGTAAAGAGAGATGAACTTTGAGTCCTCATCTAGCAACGATACCTTTCATTATCCTCTACACTATCTGTGCAATGGTATGCACAATAGCCACAAAAAATATGGAAAAAGAAAAGAATAAGAATTCAGAAAGCAAAGCTTCGATACAAAATTATGGCAAATATAGACAAGACAAATAGATAACAGAAAATGATGATAAATTAAAGGGAAATCGTTTCACAGTCCCTGTTATCCTGGATATACTAGCCAGATCAATGGAAGAAAGAGAGAGAGGAAGAAAGAGGAAATGAGAATGAGAGTTGAGGGAAAGAGAAGAAAATGAGATAAATGAGAACTACCAATGCACCATGCAAATCGAGACAGAAGTGTGTGCGCATATATGAAAATGATTTTTTTTCAAATTTGGTATTGAAAAATCTTAAGAAATATGAGGTTGTTTCGAGCAAGACTGTAGAAAAACACGTAAAGATAATGAAGACCTCATGAATATACTGGAAGGTTTTTAACACGTCTCGATGTCGAGTTCTGCTGAACTTGAAACTTTTCAGAATATCCGATTAAAAAGGGTCGTACGAAAAAGAAGGCTTTACCCCCTCATCATCAGCGATCGCTTCCTGCGTATGGTACGAAAATGGAATCCGAAAATAAAATCCCTATATGGTATGAAAAAAATAGAATTCTCTTTTTCGAATTTCACTATGCAGTTCACTCTTCACAAATATCATTTCAGCATCATTCTTTACTCGAAAGACATTATCCATATCACCCTGGCTGCTGTAATGAATGCTAACAATTTTTCCATAACTTTTCCTCTTTCCGGTCAAAACAAAACATCCGGAACAATTAGTGGCATATGACAATCTGTAACCTTATTTTTCAAAACTGCTTCACTTGTAAGTCGTTTATAAGCATTCCCCATTTTGTGCCACATGAATTACAGACAAACAATCCATAAACTTATCATAATTTAAAACTTTCAGCAGATATTGAACTAGAAAGGAACTGTAATGTTTCTGTAGTAACAAGAGTGCGTCTTTGAGATGCAACATTGCTTGCAACTTCGCCAGTAATGTCCTTTATTTAATCAGAAATTGAAGTAAATTTGCAAAAAAATGGAATGCTCATTAAGAAGAGGAAAGGAAGGAAATGTCGAACTGAAGTGCCTAAACTTCATATACATTTTAACTAATAAAGATAAATCTATGCCTAAACTTCATATACATTTTAACTAATAAAGATAAATCTACTAATTGATGAAATAGATAAGCAACATTTTCCGGTACATAGAATAAAATATCGTATGTGTATTATGTATATATGTGCAGAATAACAACTAATGTGCTCACCGACATAGAACAGAAGCACAAACTTCGAGAGTGGTCTACTTCTTTTTCAGCAAATCTTACGAATGTTGCTGCTTCGAAAAACGGTGAACAAAACACTTGACTTTATGACATTTCGAGAATGCGTGTTTATATCTATCTATTCCCTACTGGCCACTCCACTAATGTTTAACGAATAATTTATATCGGGAAAACATTCAATCGTTACTGCACTATTGTCATCACCTATTACTAAATAGCTAGAGATCATCCAATATACTGATAGCCATATCTCTGAAAAACGCCGTTAATTACTAATCCTACCTAATATTACCTAGAAACAAAATTGGACTCGCTCTCTAGTAAATTATTCATATACAATAAACAGACCTCCAATTCAATTGCACATGAATACAACTTCTACATTATTCCCACGGTCATCACTTCTAACTAGATCTCGAAGGAAGCCTACAATTTTTTATTATAGTCCTCATCTCTTATACACCTTTTAAATGAAACTGAAAAACATCACAGCCTTGAAAGTGGAGTATTAGGAAAGACATGTAATTTCTTGCAATAAACGAAACAATGCATTAATTCCTTTTGCGAAATCAGCTTATTGAAAGGAATTAAATAATCTTTTTATATAAATAAATTCCGTCACGAAATAATTGCCACATTATTATGATGATTTTAAATCCGAACAGAAGAAGCGAAAAGGCTCATCAAAAAACTTTGTGAAAACTTAAACGGCTACAGATGTCATCATTGATTCACATGGCATCAGTCACTTACTACCTACTTGTTTAGCTATTAAAAGATCGCTAATTGCTGTACAGACAAAGAACACATAAATTCACTAGTCAGCATTGCATAAGGCATCTGGCACTTACCATTACATTCAAGATGAAAAGCCAACAACAACATTTCTATTTTCAGACTACTGTCTCCTAAGAAATACAAAAAAACGGAACCGAAAAGTATGAACATTTTGTTTCATTAATTCATTAAATTTTGAAAAATTGCAGTGCTATAAAAGTTGCATAGAAATTTCCAAATTCCTGAAACTAATAGCTCATATTGTTCCTAAAGTTTAAATTAAAAGAAAATACACAAACCGATAGTTTCATTCAATGGCAGGCTTTTTGCGAAGAATGGAATTCTTTATCTGATTACAGATGAAGTCATGAAAATGTGGAGATGAAAGAAATCCAAATCAGGACAATGGGATGAAAACAACTGGACTTCCTAGTTCAATCAGGATTAGCCATAAAATTGATCCTGCCAAGAAAAAAAGTTTGGTGACATTTTCTATTCTGTAATGCTATTAATGATATAGCTTCAAATAAAAACCAAAATAACCTTGATATCATTATTCCAAAATATTATTCCGTGACAAACAAAAAATAGACCGCCTTGCACTCCTGTTTGACCTGAGAGAAAAAATCAAAATGAAAGTTAAAAATGAGGAAATTATGGTGCATAAGGAGATAGAAAATACCTGCGAATATTTGTAAATCCACCAAAAAGCATATACGACAGTATTATATAGAGAAATGTAGGAAAGAGTTGTTTAGCAAATTAAAAAGATATGTTTAACTAGCCCAACTTAGCTCCTAGATTATATGCATCCCTGAATAGATTTCTAATATATTCGAGAGGAATAACACCGTATGGAAAATGGTATACACGGTTGGATGAAAAGTTGACTTATAGAACAGATACATACTAATTAAATAAAATTGGGAAAATGTCAGTTTGTTTCATTTTATCTGCAAAATAATCATTTATATGGATTATTTTTAATTTAACAATTTATACCAAGTTTCATAGCGAATATTTTAAATTTCGTTAGTTAAATATTACTGCTACATTTGAAACTGAAAAAGCAACTGAAGTTTATTAAAAATTAAGAATTTAATTGAAAAGCAATTCAAGAAATAATATTTGTCACATGGCATCTGAAAAACTTGGACTCGTATATTATTTTGTCTCTAGAGTATTTATCTTTTTCTAAAAAAGTGCACAGCGAATTTCGCAAAACGTAGCTTAAATTTTAAAGATCTTTTCTCTAAATTGTAAAAATAAAAATTATAAATCAATTATAGATTTTCTATGCCTTCCCTTCTTTTCCTCGTCCAACTTTTTTTGTCTCTGAAACTTAAGAGAATTATCTTAAGAAGTTAAATTGGTCGGACACCGCTATTGATGACAGTTAGTTAGTGCTCAATTAACATCCTGAAGAAAGAACGAATAATGAATTATAGGCGGTTAATTCTTCGGTATACATTACTGGCTGTTTTCCTTTTGATGATTCATTCAAAGGCACGAATATTTTGGGGAGTGTTTCTTCCTTTAGTACTAATCAACCTCACTCTGTAATAATGCACAGCACAGCAAGAATAATGAACGATGATAATAATGATGTTGATGTAAATGATTGATAACGATAAAGGCTGAAGAAAAGAGATGATGATTGTCGGTGATAAGATTAAAGATAAGGTAAAAGAGGAGGTGAGAGAAGCAGATAAAGCCAAAAGGTTAGATTTAGTCTCAAAATCACTGAACTATAGTACTTTTGCAATTAAAGATACCACAAGGTCAAACCCGTAAACAAATCAACAAACCGTTGCCTTTCCCAAGAACAACCAGCCTGCATCTCGTACATATTCATATATATATACATATATAATACAGTGATCAACTAACCATCTTTCGATTCAACAACATAACTATTTTTTGCTTCTTTCGCTTTTTTATTCTCCTTACGTCTTTTAGCAATAGCGCATTTGTCCTATAAATTATAATGCTCAGTAGCAAAGGAGACAAAGTGGTGTTATGTTCTAAAATGAAAGAATGTACAATAAAATCAAAGGCTTCAAAAATCCTTGAACTCTTTATAAGCCATCTGAGTTAATTCAAGCTACAATTTTCTTTCATTTAGAACGGAGTGAGAGACTAAAGGAGAAGAGGAGAAGGAGAAAAATGATAAATGTAAACCAACTGGTTGATTTTTCAGATTGGCCATTTCGTTATCCAAATTTGCCTGCTGCGGGTTCTGAAATAAATGAATAAAGATGTTACATTTGCTGGAACAGGTAAAATGTGAAATGTAAAATTGGGAGAAATTAGGCAAAAGGAATTCGCTAGCAGAACACCTTTGCAAGCATCCTCAAGACACAGTGTCAGAAGAGAACTATCACTGAAAGGTGAGACCAATCAACGGGACAACAAGTGCACGCTCACATGTACATCCACTCTTGTGGCAACTACTCTGGGAAATGTTACGAAATCAAAGCGGGCTTTTTGCAAAAACTTTTTTAAATATTTCTGTAAAGAGGTGAAAAGATGAAATGGAATCAAACCGAAAGTGCATCACATCTGTTGTTTC